ATATATATATAAAAAATAATTGTTTGTTTTATAGTATTCATATGACAAGAACGTAATTATTGATAAATGTTGAGAAGGTGTATAAATAAATAATAGTTTAAGTTGAAACAAATAAAAACAGTTTGTTTTAATATTTTATATAATAAAAAAAAAAGTTACTTTATAAAGAAAAATAAATAATTTCTCATTAAATAAGCGATTTTTTGTTTTATTTTAGTAATCAATATTTATATATTTTAATAAATAAAAACAATAAATATTTTCAAGAAGAATTATTATTATTTAGAATAAAAAGGTTGTGTTTGAATTTTTATATAGATTATATAATTTAAATTTCCTTCACCGCCAGTTACCTAAAAAAATTTACCTTACCGACAACTAATTTCTTACTTATGATGACTTAGAAGACTTAAAAGACAGATCAATTGTCGTTCTTTTGTAATTGTTTTTTCATGGATTACAGTTTAATTTTTTTCATAAATATGATATTTAAATGTTTTAATGTGTGTATTTTATTATATAGAATTTACTATTATTTGACATATATTAAGTGTTATGTATGAAGTATTAAATGTATATTTAATATAACTTGTTAGAGAGCAAGTTACTTTTTGAAAAACTCGCGAATTATTAAAAACCTCAACTATCCTTTTTTTGGTGAGCTTTATTGTAATGAGCTTTAAGACTTTTCTTCGAATAATACTTTTTTCCACAATCGTGACATTGAAACGGTTTTTCCTGGGCGTGGGTGTACCTGTGTTGGCTACGATTGCTTCTGTACCGGAATTTAAGGGGGCAAAGATCGCACTGAAAGGGCTTGTAATCATTATCGGCGGTATGAAGCGCCTCGTGGTCGACCATCGTGCTCTTGTCGCGGAATTTCATCGGACAAAGCCGACACTGCCAAGGTTTTTTCCCGGTGTGGATCATCATGTGTCTGATCAGGCTGGCTTTTCCGCAGAATTTCGACAAGCAGGTGTCACACTGGTAGCGCTTCTTTCCCGTGTGAGTGAGCATGTGCGTGGTGAGGCCGCGTTTCCGGAGGAATTTCAAGGGACACTTTTCGCATTTGTAACGCCTTTCTCCCGTGTGAATCATGTAGTGCCCCTTCATGTAGTATTTATTCGAATATTCTTTGTTGCAGATATCACATTTGAACGTCAGGTCACTTTTCTTAACGGAAAACTTGTTTCTAGGCTTTTTTTCGCAGACTATGCCGTCGACGACGAAAATTTTCTCGGAATTTTCGCCTTCAGAATTAGAATCTGCAAAAAAAGGATCTGTTGTAAAAAAAATGAGGATATCTTGGAAATGGTTAGAGATACGAGGAAATTATTTTAGTACAAAATTGTAGAGGGGGAAATTTTCTAAAAATTTTGTGTGAGAAATTTTTTTCTAGAACCAACCGTTCAAGAGTTACAGAGCTCAAAATAAAGCGCGGGAAACTGCGAAATAAAATTGTTCTAAAGAATTTTTTTAAGACCAATTTTTCGAGAGTTTTTGTAGTTTCGTTACAATTTTACTGATAACTTGCAATTGGTTAGAGATAGGGAAACTATCTTAGTACAAAATTGTAGAAGAGAAAATTTTCTGACAAAAGTGTTTCAAAAAAATTTTTTAAACGGTTCAAAAGTTACAAGCTTTTGAAAAAACCGCGAATAACTGCGAATTAATTAATTAAAAGGAATACCATGATTAAGGTTGTCAGAAATCGTCGTATTTAGATCTCCTTCGACCTTAATCTCTTCAAAATCAATAGGGTACTCTTCACGGAGTTCCTTTGGCCCATTTTTCCCATTTTCCTGGAAAAAAATAAGAAAAAATTAATAAAATTCAACGTTTGTTGGCATAATGTAAACATAACCTACCTCGAGTTCCCCTTTTTCTATTTTTATAACAAAAGGGTTTGATAAAAAATTATTTGCACTCATTATTATTATTATTATTACTTATTAATACCTTACAAACATTTTTACATTTTAAAAATTAAATTATTAACAATAAATTACACTGTAATTAATTCTTTTATAAAATAAACTTGCGATGATATTTTAAGTGATTTCTACATATTATAAACAAAAAATTAAATTTTATCGATGGTCGATAAAGTAGATAAATAAATTTCCGATAGTTAATTAAGCTTTGTAATTTCAGCAACAGGTTGCGCTGCAATTTCAGTAAAAATTCAAAGCCGAGGTTGTGAAAAATATTTCTAAATTAATAATTCGCAGTTTTTTAAATGTTAAAAACGGAGACAATAATAGATATATTAAAATTATTTCAAAAAATTTTAAAGGGGGAAATTTCCTCTTAAAAGTGTCTTAAATAATTTTTCTAAGGGTGAGCTTTAAGGTGAGCTCTTAAACTCTTCTTCGAATAATACTTATTTCCACAATCGTGACATTGAAACGGTTTTTCCGGGGCATGGATGTACCTGTGTTGGTTAAGACTGCTCCTAAACCGGAATTTAAGGGGGCAAAAATTGCACTGAAAGGGCTTGTAATCATAATCGGCGGTATGAAGCGCCTCATGGCCGACCATCGTGCTCTTATCGCGGAATTTCATCGGACAAAGCCGACACTGCCAAGGTTTTTCCCCAGTGTGGATCATCGTGTGTCTGTTCAAGGTGGCTTTTCCGCGGAAATTCGACAAGCAGATGCTACACTGGTAGGGCTTTTTTCCCGTGTGAGTGAGCATGTGCTTTGTGAGGTTGCTTTTACGGACGAATTTAGCGGGACACTTTTCGCACTTGTGCCGCTTTTCTCCCGTGTGCCTTCTGTGGTGCTCTTTCATGTAGTATTTCGAGTATTCTTTGTTACAGATCTCACATTTGGACATTGGGTCTTTTTTCTTACCGGAAAAATCGTTTTCAGGGTTTTTTTCACAGACTATTCCGTCAACGACAAATATTTTCTCGGAATTGTCGTCTTCAGGATGATAATCTGGAAAAAAGGTATTTATTTATTTAATAAACAATAAATCCAACAGCAGAGCTATTAAAAGGAATTCTTAATTTGTAGGGGAGTGTGGGGTCCCCCCGGTCACCTAAGAAGTGAATTTAAAAAAAATATTAAAATTATCATTTTGGAATAATAAAAAAGACTTTATTCAACTCTTTGACATCTGAAGAACTAAATGCAATTACTAAAAAATATAAGTATGAAGATAAATAAAAATATTTGAGGAATTATAGAAATAATGAGTTTGACCGGGGCGACCCAACGTGTTGGGTCACCCCGGTCATTAAGCAGGTCGCTCCAGTCAGTATTAATTTTATTTTAAAAATAAGAAATTCCGAATTATATTGTTAAAATTTGATAAAAATTTTAAATTAATTTTTTTATTGAAACTTTAGCAGAAAATAACATTAAATATTGGTAATTTTGAACATTTAAACTTTCTGTTTTTTAACTAATTTGCGTTTTTTAGGCCATACTTGATATTTATCCGTCGCACCAGTGGAAGTTATTTGTTTCCTTGAATTTTTTCTAGGTTCTTCTGCTGACTTACTTGTTTGGTTCTTTTGTGATTTTTTTTTTTAATTAATTACAAAATAGTGGTTAGTTTTAAATATATACACGAGCTGTCAAACAATAAACAATTGAATAAACTGACCAGTGTTACCCCACAGCTTTGACCGGTATGACCCCAACCGATAGTTGAGAAAATAAACTTTATTCAAAAGAAAACTATTAATAATTACAGTATAATAAAAATTCCCACTTATAAAGCCACTTATGAAGATTTATAGATTATATACATAAAAATTATAAATTTTTATCTTGCTGTAAATTATATTAAAACCCTTACGGAAATGATTCCGATTCTTAGATCAAATGGGAATTAATTTTTTAATTTTTAATTATTACTAATAAATACTATATTTCTAAGTTTTGAATCTATTTTTTTACTCTCAGCTGAATAAGCGTACAAAATAAAACAAAATTCAAAATTTAAGGTATAGTAGATTTTTTTAAATGTTGGTGACCGGGGCGACCCCAAGCTCCCCTAATTTTAACTTAACCAATAAAGAATCGAGGCCAAAAGGGCGTATAACAAAAGCTAAATAGGGTTTTATGCCAAAATGGCGTATAAAAAAATTTTTAATTTTATTCAATAATATAAAATTTAACTCTTGAATAAAATTCAACGCCCTTTTGGCTTTGAAAATTTATTTTTTTATTTGTAGACTTAAAAAGAGTGTTAACAAAGCAATAAGTAAGAAAAAAAAAAAAAAAAAAAAGTATAAGTCCTTTTTAGAGTTAAAGCTGTTTGAAAAAAACCGCGAATTAATGAAAATGAAGTTAGCCGACATTTCAAAATTTTTAGAAAAAAAATTTCATTTAAAAAATTAAAAAAAAAAAATTTCATATGCAAAAAACTTAAAAAACTACAAGTGCAATTTTTTATAAATGTCCTTTTAGTTGTAATTTAATTATTAATAAAAAAATCAAAGTTTTTAAACGTCTGCTAACTTCAGTCTCATGCCAATTAATGAATTAAAGAGATTACCATGATTTACATCGTCAGAAGTCGTCGTATTTTGATTTCCTTCGACTTTTATCTCTTCAAGATCAATAGGGTACTCTTCCGGGAGTTCCTTTGGCCCATTTTCCCTGTTTTCCTGAAAATAAATAAGAAAACATTCATAAAATTGCATGTTTGTTGAAATAATGTAAACATAACCTACCTCAGGTTCAATTTTTTCTATTTTTATAACAAAAGGGTTTGATACAAAATTAATTACACTCATTATTATAATTATTATTATTATTTATTAAAACCTTAAGAACGCATTTATAAATTTTAAAATTCAATTATTAACAGTAAATTACATTGTAAATAATTGTTTTACAAACATAAACATACACTCGCGATTATTTTAATTAAAATTTAAATTTTACCGATTATTGATAAAGTAGAAAAATAAATTACCGATACTTGATTAAGCTTTGTATTTTTAGCAACAGGTGGCGCTGCAAACCATTAAAAATTCAAAGCCGAGGTAAAAAATATTGTTTTTTGTAAAAAAAAAATATTTTCGCGGGTTTTTTAATTTTGTTAAATTTTTGCCGATAACTCGGAAATAATTAGAGATGTGGGAAAATTATCTCAGTAAAAAATTGTAGAGAGGGAAATTTTCGATTAAAAATGTTTAAAAAAATTTTTTTTACAAGCTTTTAAAAAACCGCGAATTAAAAAAATTCTTAATAAATTTATTAATTATATATATTTCTTAAAAAAAAATAAATCAGCATAAATGATAATTATAAATTTTAATCAATGAAATATCATAAAATAACCATCAATGAAATAAAATAAAAATTTTTATGAATTATTGAATGAAAGACACTTTATTTATAAATTTATTAATTTATAAAAAAATTTCTATTGTTTTTATGAAGTAATAGTAAATAAATGAATAAAAAAAAAAAAAGATAATTTAACGCCCAAACAAGGTGTTAGCGAGGACTAAGCTAATCACTGAATTCCGCGATTTAGATAAAATTGAGTCAATTGTAAATAAGATAGTAAATGCTTAATATGCCTACTGTTATTATTGTTGCTGCTGTTGTTGTTGTTGTTAATTACTCTCGCGATTAAATCAACTACAAATATGGACTTTCTCCGGTTGTTTATAAGTCCACTACTAATCGGCCAGCCGCTCAGTTATTGCTTTAAGTCACACCAGGACATACCTGCTCTATGGGGTGAGTTATTTTAATTTTTTCGCAAAATAAAAATTGACAATTTAATAAAATTATCTCAGTACAAAATTTCCTATCAAAAATATCTGAAAAACATTTTTTAAAATCAATAGATAGGTCAAAATTATCTCAGTGCAAATTTATAGAAGGTAAAATTTCCTTTAAAAAATGTTTTTAACTTACCCGCTAAAAAAATCGAAAATTCTTAAGCTAAAAAAATTTTTCTTGCTTTAAATAAATTTTATTTAATTCAAGAATTTTTCGTCTTCATTCAAGACAATTAAGATTTTTCAAAATAATTTTCTTGGTTTAAGAATTTTTCTCTTGATTCAAATTAATTTTTTTTTTTCTGTGCCACTGATAGAAGAATTTTTTAGTATTTAAATTTTGAAAAAAAATTCTTTTTTAAATAATTTTTTTTTGCACTAACTTTTAAACGAAAAAAAAAGAATAATTAAGATTCTTTGTGAGACTTAAAAAAACTACGTTGAATGCCGCCAATTGTGTAAAAATCGGTTACAAACTTTTGACAAAAAACCGCGAATTAGAAAAAATAAATTATCGCTCTAAATACCGTAATTAGCCTAATTTAAGCAATCTATGCGGAATTCCTGGCCGATAATCACGAGTTATGTATTTAAGTTTGTCAATGTCGCATACTTTAAGTTTTTTTTTTTTCAGTAGCTCGTATAATGTCTAGAGCAATACAATTGTTACCTAGAATCCTTGTACGTGAATTATATTCACGAGAGTAAAAACTTTTCCTTTCACCTTAAACTTTATTTCAATTACCGGTCTACATAAATTACTATTACAATTTACAGAAACTTTTATTTCACTTACAGATACTTTGGTTAAGTCAATTATAAAATGCGAGCGTCTATTTCAATAACTGCCTTCTTGTGGATTAATAATGTATGCGGTCTACAAGTACCTCCGGCTACTTCCACAGGTAAGTACAAATTTTTAATTGTATAGACTACTACCTTAGGATTAAATTTGCATACGTAATTGTTCCATTTAAGGAGAAATTTTTTCAATAATTGTAATTATTTTCTTTTATATATGCTAAAAAATTAATTTCATTTTTTTTTTTTTTTTTTTGATAACAACTTTGATGTTAATGAACGTGAAATTAAATGACCTGAAGGTAGAATTTTTTTTTTATTAAAAAAAAAATTATTTTTATTAAATAAGATATTAAAATTAAAAGCTTGTTTTTTTTTTTTTTTTTTTTTTTTTTTTTTTAATTTTTGTTGATAATTCGAAAGATAAAGGAGGAAATTATCACAGTACAAAATTGTAGAGTAGAGTGGCCCATAACCTGTTGGAATATCTATTTTGACTTAAACTTTATGAACTTTACTTAAGCTTTTTACTTTAATTTTATTTGAAGAACTTGAATTTTACACGACAGTTCAACACTTGACTTTAGCTTATTTATTTTAATTGAAATTTGCTCAATTATAACACCTCGATATATTATAAGATTAGAAAAAATAGATTAAAAAGCTTTAAACGACTACTAAAGGACTATGTTAAAAATACGTATTAATAAAAAAACATTTATTTGATTGAGCATGCTATATTTGCTGATAAATAAAGATTGTTATTATTTAAATAAATTTTTGGATAAAAAAAAAAAAATTTCTCAGTAAACTGATAGTACTTGAGAATAATAGTCGAAGCGTGAAAGTAAGTTATTGTAAGTACAAAATACGATAAATTTCTTTCTATCCCAAGTGTTAAAAAGTTAACTATTAAAAAATTGGGTCTTTTATAACTACATAAATCATATACAGCGCGTCTTTATTCTTTATTTATTTATGATTCATTATTATTTCCGGCTTTCAAAATTAACCGTCTGACATTAATAGTCGTGTCTAAAGTTTATCATTGACTGATTAGTTTTCGTATTATATTCATAAAGATGAATAATCATTTAAATTCGTTATTCCCTGAGGGGTGGCCGACTTTTGCCATTTTTTTTTGTTTATCTTTTCTTTACACCGATCCATTAACAGATGAAAGTTTATTTCTAGATCGAAATCAAGGCGGTGATCTGCTTAAATACATTTTTTTTTTTCTTCAAAGATTATTTATTAATTTTACAATTCTCGATTTTTTTGCTTGTAACTCTTGAGGTTGATTTAAAAAAAAAAAAATTATTAGGAAATTTTCTACTAATAAAATTAATTTTACAGATCAGAGCAATGCCGGAAACTCCTGGAGCTACTTGAACTTCGTATCACTGATCCAAAATTATCTAAATCCTTCTACAAACCCTCTGATTGATTCTCAAGTCCAGTTGATCCATACACCTCCGAGTTTTCCGGTCTACAATTTAAATTACAATTTTAATCCTGACGTTAATAATCTTGTTAAGATAAATAATAATGAGAGGCCATGGACCTGCGACAGCTCTCCTCCGATAACGTGTACACAGGAGTTACCGTACCGTACTATCGATGGTTCGTGTAATAATTTAGAAAATCCTGGATGGGGAATGGCAAACACGCGCTACGCACGACTGTTGCCGCCGATTTATTCTGACGGTAAATTTATTCATATTTGTTTTTATTTTTAATTTTATTTGTATTAATGTGTATACTTTAATGTATTTAATCTTATTAATCTTATAAATCATCGTTTAGAAACTCGAGAAAATCTTTAAGGAAAAAAAAAAAAACAAATTTATACTTTCTCGATAATTTGTCGATTGTTTTTATTTTGTTAAAATTTTCCAGACAATATTTTTTTTTTGTGTGAAAATTTTCCGGAAAAATCGGAAAATTTTGAAAAAATTTTCCTGAATTTTAATTATTTTCAGACAATTAAAAAAAAATTTTCCGGAAAATTTGAAGGCTTAATAAAGAATTTTCCGGAAAAATATATATTTTTTCTCCGAGAGAATTTTTAATAATGTTTTAATAAAAAATAAAAGTGAAATGTTTCAAAAAAATCAGTAAATTCCGGGAAAAAAAAATTTATTTCTTAATTATAAATATATATATTTAAATTTCACTTATTATGTATATAAATCTAAGTGATGATAATTAATAAACAAACAAAATTAATGGTCTAATTAAGAAAAAAAAAAAAAAAAAAAAAAGTTCATAATTACAACACTGACATAATAAACACCAGAAATTAAATGCAGCATAACAAATTATGTAATTGCGACATTATTACAATTCTAATCCTTATAATTATTGTTGTATATTATGGATTTTAAGTTAATATGAACAAATATTCATAATTTATAAATATTATAATAAAAAAAAAAAAGAAAGGAATTTAAGGAAATAGTTTATTTATTTATGTATGTAATTTTTTTAGGAATTTGGCAACCAGCTGTAGCAAAAAGTGGTCGTGATTTACCTCGCAGCAGATTATTAAGTTACACATTGTTCCCTGAATTGAGGGTTAAGGACCCAAAATGGACCCTAGCGCTGATGCAGTGGGGCCAAATTATTACTCATGATATGGCTGAATTAGTAACTAAGCCAATGTTAAGTAAGTTTTATTTTTAATTTTTTTAAAATTAATTATTAGGTCCTATGGGGCATTTTTAGGTTCAATTGAATTTTTTCTCCAAAAAAATTAACATTAGCTCTATATCCTAAAATTTTTAGGTTTCATGGGAAATTTTTAGGTTCTATGGGTAATTTACGATAAATTCTAGATAAATTTTTCGTCGAAAAAATTAACTTTAGGTTCCTTGGAAAATTTTAAAGTTCTATGGGTAATTTTTAGGTTCTATAAAAAAATTAAAAAATCTTACAGAAATGCCATCAGTCGAATGTTGCACCAACGACGACAAACTAGTGACCCAAAACCTAGAAGACCCATCATGTTTCCCCATAATAGTTGGGCCTAACGACCCAAATTACCCGCCATCAACCCAATGCCTGACATTTACCCGCTCAGCGCCGGATTTCGAGCTCCCGAACAGTTGTTTCGGCCATCAGAAGCCAGCTGACCAGGTGACCCAGGTGACCCAGTTCCTGGATCTGTCTTTGGTATACGGATCTTCGGACAGCCAAGCGGCGAAATTGCGCAAGTTCCAGGGCGGCAAACTGAGGTCCCAGGTCAGGAGACAAAGAGAATGGCTGCCGTCGGGAAACGCCTCGGAGGAATGTGTCATTGAGAGACCAAGTGACATTTGCTACGAAGCTGGTAAGTCCCCGAGGTGTATTAACTTTCTCGAGGTGATCTTAATAATAATAATAATAATAATAATAAGACATAAATTTACAGGTGACAACCGCGTTAACCAGAATCCTCAGCTCACGGTTCTACAGGTGCTTTTACTCCGCGAGCACAATAGAATTGCGACTAATCTTGCCAAGATTAATCCTCACTGGAGTGACGAGACTATTTATCAGGAGGCTAGAAGGATTGCTATTGCGGAGTATCAACAGATTTCGTATTATGAGTGGCTGCCGCCGATGATTGGTGAGATAATTTTAATTTGCATTTTCCCGCGCTTTTTTTTTTCGAGGCTTGTAACTCTTGAATGGTTGGTCCTAGAAAAAAATTTTTCTAAACAAAATCTTTATAAAATTTTCCCCTCTACAACTTTGTACTGAAATAATTATCTCCTATCTCTAACCGTTTCCGAGTTATAGGCAAAAATTGTGAAAAACTAAAAAAAATCCCAAAACTCTATTCGCATTTTTCCGCGCTTTTTTTCGAGCCTTATAACTCTTAAATGGTTGGCCGTAGAAAAAAATTTTTCCGATATAATTTTTAGAAAATTTCCCCCTCTACAACTTTGTACTGAGATAATTTGCTTCTATCTCTAACCGTTTCCGAGTTATCGGCAAAAATACATTTACATTCATAAATTCCGCGATAAAATAATTGAATATTTAATTACAGGGCTAGAGAATGCATTAAAGTATAAAATAATTTATAATACACCCGACGACCAGTATGTAAACGATTACAATCCAAATATCGACCCAACTGTATTAAACGAACATTCTAATGGTGCTTACCGAGTCTTTCACTCGCTCATTGCCGGTTATTTAAAGTAAGTTTGACAAATAATTTACAATTATGCAATAGTCAAGTTTGTTATCAGTAATACATAATATTTAAATGTATTAATGCTGTGTCTGATCTACCAGACTGGTCCAGGAGAATAGGTCAACGAAAGGACTGATTAGGATTAGCGACTGGTTTTTCCGACCGGGTATTATCGAACAGGGAGATAACATGGACGACTTGACACGTGGACTTTCGGACCAGCCTGAGCAGGCTAGAGATGAATATTATGATCATGAAGTAAGTTGGTATTCAATACCGGGTCAATTTTTGACAATTGGGCCATATTTATGATACTATCGTTATCTTTGGTGCAAATTTAAGATAATTTAAGATGAATCTTAAGGTCATATTTAAGACAATTGGCCACTAAAGATCACATTTTTTGACAATTGGGCTATATTTAGGTCACATTTAAAACATTTGGACAATATTTAGGTCATGTTTATGACAATTGGGCCATATTCAAGACAATTGGACACTAAAAATCACATTTTTGGACAATTGGGCTATATTTAGCTCATATTGAAGACAATTGGACAATATTTAGGCTATATTTAAGACAATTTGGTGAAAGTTTAAGACAATTGGGAAATTTCAAGGTCATATTTAAGACAATTGAACTTAAATTTTAAATTTTTCAGATAACCTTGTACCTCTTCCGTGGCCGAGATCGTCTTGGCGGTGACTTAAGGTCAATCGACATCCAGAGGGCGCGAGACCACGGTTTGGCAACTTACAACGACTACCGCGAGTTCTGCGGGCTACGCCGCGCAAAATCATGGTCAGATTTCCAAGATTTCATCAGCCCGGAGAATGTTAACAAACTTTCGGAATTGTACGAGCACCCGGATGACGTTGACTTTGCAGTAGGTGGGGGCTTGGAAGTGAATGACAACAACGCTCTAGCTGGTCCTACCTTCCTCTGCGTGCTTATCGAGCAGTTCTACCGCACCCGCGTGGGCGACCGGTTCTGGTTCGAGTCTCCGGACCCGGTGGTTGCTTTCACTCGAGGTAATATTATTTTTTTATAAAAATTGTTTTCTATTTTTTAGCAATCTAGCAATCTAACATTAATCGGTGAAATTTTCTAGAGCAATTGAGGGAAATCCGTAAAGCCACATTGGCAAGATTTATGTGCGACAACACCAACAGCATTAAGACTATTCAAAGGCGTGCCTTTGAAATTCCATCAAAAGAGAATACACTTGTATCTTGTGATTCTATTCCTGGAATTGATTTTAATTTATGGAGAGATTATGCTCCCCAAGTAGCCAATCAGCAACAGCACCTCGGAATTCTTTATAAGAAATAATAATAATAATAATATTAATTAGTCTTAATTCATAATTAATATTTGTAATTGTAATTTTTAATAAATTAATTTAATTTTTGAAAAAATTTAATTTGTAATTTTTTGATCGAGTTTATGACAATTTTTTCATTTATAAGGTCATATTTCCGACAATTGGACCATATTTATGTTATTTTTAGGCCAATTGGATAATGTTTAGGTCACAAACTTGTCTTTTTAGACAATTGGGCCAACTGGTATTAGGTAAATATGAATAAAAAAAAAAAAGTTAATAATTTACCCTATTATTAACATGTTTTTTTATTTGATATGTCAAATTATAAATTTACAATTGTATATAATTTATCACAGGCTTTTTAAAATAATAATTCGCATTTGATCCATTCATATACAATTATTCATTATTTTGTTTATGTTTATCCTTTTTTATTATTTTTTCTTTTTATTAATTCATGATTTTAATAATAATAAAAAAAAAAAAAAAAAAAAAAAAAGAATATTTAGAGTCCTAATTTAAAAAAAAAAATTTGTTCGATTAAATATCAATAATTATTCAATTAATTATTTTTAACGACATTTGTGACCAATTATATAAATCAATAAAATTTTATATAAAAAATATGCGGCTTCAATCGCGTGTGCCGATTTTAAAAATCAATTATTGGCACTGGAATTATATTTATATATAATAATAATAATAATAATAATAATAATAATTAATAATAAAATTATTTTGTTTTAAAAATACTATTTATAATACCATTTAAAATGAGATAATAATTGCCATAGTTAATAATAATAATAATTAATAAAAAATATAGCAACGATAACAAGAGTATTACGCTAATAAATCAATAATGAGTTAATTAATTAATTCATAAATTAATTAATAACATTGTGTTTGTGGAGATTCGTTAATGATATGTACATATTTAATATATAGTTTTGTTTTTTTATAATTATTAATTAATAGTCGATATATTTTTTATTTAATTGATTTTACGTTAATTAATTATTAATTACGTTCGAGTGTTACTTTAATATTAAAAATAATATTAATAATTATAATAATTGTCATTTTTAATTGAGTTTTTTTTTTTGTAGCCAGAGTGAGTAATATATTATTTAATATATTAGTGGAGTAATTGGTCCTTAGGATTAATTTTAGTTACTTTTTTTTCGTCACTAGATGGCGATAATAATTTAAGATTTTGAGAGTTTTTGACATTTATGATTATATATGGTCACATACTAGAACAATGTTCCTAGAACTGTATTCCTAAACCTAGGTTCCTAGAACAATGTTCTTAGAACACTGTTCCCAGAAAAATGTTCCTATGAAAATGTTGTTAGAACAATCTTAGGATAATGTTCCTAGAACAAGGTTCCTGGAACAATGTTTTAGAAGAATGTTCCTAGAGCAATGTTCTTAGAACAACATTCCTAGAACAATGTTGGAACAATGCTCTTAGGACAATGTTCCTAGAACATATGTGACCATATATGATTTTGATCACATATAATTATTAAAATTTCAATAATTAAAGATTCTTTTTAGCGACAATTCAGTTTTACTGATTTATGGTCAAATTACGTAAAATAATTGCGTAAATTAATAATTAAATTATTAATATAAAATAATAATAATAATCTGGCTACTTAGTGTATATGTTTAACTTATAGAAAATAAATGTCTAAAAAAATGCATGTGCTAGTGCAAAATAATCATAATAAAAATAACAATCATAATGGGTATTTTTTCTTTCCATAAGAGGTGGGCATATTTTAAATAGCTATGATTTTTTTTTGCCTGAATATTTAAAATTTCTAAAGATATTCTTAGCAAAAAGTATTATTTTTTCAATGATTTTCATTGTAAATAATTGCACACCCCTAGTTTTAAGTACTTCACAAATCCACTTAAGTTACGTACTTACTCTCTTGTTCTCTTATAGTTTTTTCGTTTCTTTGGACGGAGATTTGTGTGACCATTTAAAAAAAAAAAAAAAAAAAAAAAAAAAAAAAAAAAAAAAAAACAGACAACAAATTATTATAAATTCCAAGCAAAATTATAAACTTTGAAGGCTACTTTTTTTCTTATTTTTTCTATAATCTCGGGTTGATAATAGTTGATAAAGCTCGGTTAATTGATTCTTCACATTCCTGACTCAGCAATTCCTTCATCATCTGAAATTTTTTTTTTATTTTTAGTAATTTAGTCATTTCATTTATAATTCTTTTCAATAGAGTTAAATATTAACAAGTACAGTATTTTGTTATTTTTAAAGCCGTGCAATTTTAAAGTTTTGAAATATTTTTAATTATAAAAGTAGATTAATCCCCAAGTAGATTAAAACTAAATTCAAACTACTAATTCAAAATAATCCCCAAAAAACTACATTCATGCGTACATTGTTCGTAGAACAATGTTCCTGAAACGATACTCGCAGAACAATGTTCCTAGAACAGTGTTCCTAGAACAATGCTCCTGGAACAATGTTCCCAGAACAATGTTCCTAGAACAATGTTCCTAGAGTTCTTTAGTTTTTCTATTTATTAGTCACAAATTACCATTTTTTAAGCAATAATTAACTAATATGTCTACTAAGAGCTAATAATTAGATAAGCAATTATTATTACCCATATAATAAATAAAGGTGTCTTGACTACAAGACCATCACCTTTCCTTCTCATCTTGGTTCACCGAATTATCCAGAGAGCTTCGATTTTTTTCTATGTACAAGGTATCATTATAAATAATTATTATTATTATTAAATCCAAAATTACAGTAAACAATTACCGCCACCTAGCACACATTGTTTATAATAATAATATTAATAATAATAATAATAATGACAGAAAAAAACGTAATTTAAGGGATGGAATTAAAAATGGAGGTTACCTTCAAACCCAGCGTTGTCGTGAATCTCCCGAGGAGGGCCAGTAGTGTCCTGACCCTCCAAAACCGCGAGTAGACACTGGTGGATGCAAATATACTGCTGCTCGGTTTGGACCATCCAGACACGTTCTTTGCGCATGATCCAAACAATACCGAAGATATCGACGTAGTCTGAGACCTGGATCTGCTGGAGAATCCGGTCTAGGGTTATGAATGTCCCGCTGCGGCCTACTCCTGCGCTACAATGGACGACTATTGGTCGCTGATCGGGACGTACTCGTTCTCTAAAGGCTCGGACAAACCGCGCTAAAGTTTGTGGAGGGCTTGGAACACCAAAGTCCGGCCATGTTGTAAAATGGAAGTGCTGGATTACTCTTTTTACTTCACCCTAATAAAAAAAAAAAAAAAAAAAAAAAATAAAAAAGTTATTTTTTTTAATTTAAAATAAAAATAAAATAAAATTTAGTTAAAACTTACCCGACAGAGCATAAACTCCGTGATACTCCAGTCAGGATACCGCGTCTCGTTGAGAATAGTAACAGAGATGTCGCCGTAATAGACCGGGCCAGTATCCATAGGCCAGTAGTGGTCGCACTTCTCTCTGCCCTTTTCAATGCACCGGGTCAGCATGACAATGGCGCGGCTGTTACTTTCCCAGACCATCCGCCAGAAGTCGTCGCGAGTCGAGTGTAAGGGCCCTTGGGTGACTATGAACTCTCGGGGCGAGTTGTGACCCGGAACATAGTTTGCGTTTATATAGTCAGAGCCCTCTTCATCGTCGACCGGTTGAAGCTTAAACCGGCTGTGGTCGTAAGGTAAAATGTTCGTAAATCTGTTTTTAGGCCGATTGCATGGAAGATCTGCTGCTGTGCAAGGCTGGTCTCGGCCAACGTGCTTCAGCTCCTCAAACTCTTCTGAGAACCTGAAGTCTGAATCTGCTGACATTATTCGGTAATGTTCGGCGAAGTTTTCTATTCTTACTGGTCGGCTGTGGAAGAAAATAGGGGTTTTGTTAGTTAGGAAAAAAATTTCGGAACGGTTCTTGGAACATTGTTCCAGGAACATCGTTCTAGGCATTGTTCTAGGAACGCTGTTCTAGACATTGTTCTGAGAACATTGTTCCGGGGATGCTGTTCTAGGAACATTGTTCTAGGAACTATTCTAGAAACTCTATACTAGGAACATTATTCTAGAAATACTGTTCTAGGAACATTATTCTAAGAACACTGTTCTAGGACACATTATTATAAGAACATTGTTCTAGGAACATTATTCTAAGAACACTGTTCTAGGAACATTGTTCTAGAAACAAGATTCAGGTGCAATTTTGAAGAAACGAAATTGAAAAAAATACCTTGTTTCAATGACACTATCTGGAAGTGAAAGATTATCCGAAGGACCTCCAGCTCTTGGTTCCGCAATTTTCCTAAGTTGGTTCCGATGTCGCCTAACAAAGAGCCCGATTCCGAGTAAGGTCAGCAGAAGAATAATAGGAACAGTGACTCCAACGATAATTGCAGTGTTGTCTTTGTCTAAAATAGAAGAACACAATTATTAACCAGGTTCTTGGAACTGAAAGGAGTGGTTACACAGATCTTTAAGCTCACCGGCTGCCATTAGCAGCAATCCTTCTTAGAGGCATTAAAAAGCAAAGCAGATTGTTAGGTTAGCTTTAGGAGGTTACATTAGAACAATAGGAACATATGGAACTGATGGAACTAACCGGTCTGGATAGCAAAGCTGTAGCTAGTATCCGTGAATTTATCCGGAGCAGTGAAGGCTCGGACTTTTACTCGGTAAGTCGATCCAGATTTTAAGGGTCCGTTGCAGTAGCCTATCACTTTACCATCGCAGTTCTCAGTTCCTATCGTGAAATCTTCTACGGAACTGTTCTTGAATGGGTAGTATGGTTCCATAACCTGGAATTTTTTATGGAACAAGATTTTAATAGATTTTTTTAGGGAACAAGATTTAAATGGCACTTATGGAACAATTAACAAAACTAACCTGATAAGGCGGCCAAATGCTGTAAGCCTGAACATCCTTCCAGCTTGGCATTTCTAACCCAGAAGCGTTCTTACTGTCGTCCTCAGCAACAATAATCGTGTAGGCAATTACGGATCCATGCTGCTCACTAAAGTAATTTTTCCTGAACCTAATCTGGATTGTGGAACTGGTTCTGCAAACTTCAGTAGGAACAACCTGGGTGGGAGGTTTCGGGGGAGCAAGAATGGGCATCTTCTGCCGCCAGACGTTCTCAGGTCCGTACCCAACCTTAGTCTTGGCCTGGATGCTGAAGGCGTAAGTCTTTCCGGGGATGAGTCCCTTGATCATGCCCTGGTTCTCATTAGCTTTGAAGTCTTTAGCTCCCGTGTGCTTGCTGCCGTCCAGCTGATAGGTGATGGTGAACTTAGTGATGACACCATTGAACTCCGTCGGAGATAGGAACCACTGGAAGCTGATGTCACTTGGCTGGATGTCAGTCGGGTCAAACTTCTCGACTCTCCCTGGGAAGGACTCGCTGGTGGTGAAGCTGGCAGAGACCGGGTGGCTTCTTCTCAGGTGGAGGTTAGAATAGTACCCGGAACAGACCACCAGGGTGAAGGTGTAGTTCCGCCAGGGTCGCAGGTCCTGGATCACAAGGAGGTTCGTCGAGGTTATGTTCTGCACCAACTTGTCCCCGTTTATGAACTGCATCTCGAAGGCGTCGAACTCCCCGGCTGGAATGTCCCAGGAAAGGCTGATCCAGGTGGCGTTCACTTCGACTTCTTGCAGAGCTGATATTGGTAGTGGGTACAACCGATCTTGACGGAACAAAGGACGGCTTGATATTCCTTGGCTCACTGTCCAGAAAGTCACGTTGTACAGTCGACCGGGAATGAGGTTTGAGAAGGTCACTTTGGTGTCAGGGTCGTCGACTTGCTTCTCCGTGGTTGTGTTCAGGTCGTCACTGATTCGGAAACGGTACAAGTCGAACCTGGAAAATAAGGGGGTTAGAATTAATTGTTGGGGTGGTATACGCGAAATAGAAATGTATATAATCTTTATGGTAGATTAGGAACTCATATTTTTTTGGATCTTTCCGGAGAAAACATTAGTTAAATCTTGTTCCATTAAAAGTTTCATTTAAATCTTGTTCCTTTTAGAACATTTATTAAAATCTTGTTCCTTAAAAACGTTTTTCAGATCTTGTTCCATTAAAACGTTAATGAGATCTTGTTCCTTCAGAACTTTTTTGAAATCTTGTTCTTTTTAACTTTTTTAAAATCATGTTCCTTGAAAACTATTTTAAGATCTTGTTCTTTCAAAGCTATTTTAAAATCTTGTTTCATTTAAACATCTAAAATCTTTTTCTTTAAAAACTTTTATCAAATCTTGTCCCTTCAGAACTTTTTCAAGATCTTGTTCCATTAAAACTTTAATCAAATCTTGTTCCTTCAGAAATTTTTTAAAATTTTGTTCTTTCAAACCTATTTTAAAATCTTGTTCTCTTAAATATATTTTTAAAATCTTGTTCTTTTAAGTATATTTCTAAAATCTTGTTCCTTTAAAACTCTTATCAAATCTTGTTCCTTCAGAACTGTTATAAGATCTTATTCCTTCAAAGCAATTTTAAAATCTTGTTCCATTCAAACTCATCTTAAATATTGTTCCTTTGAAACTGTTCCCTAATCTTGTTCCTTTTAAATATTAACAAGATCTAGTTCTTTCAGAACATTTTCAAGATTTTGTTCCTGGAACACTTTTCCATCAAAAAAACTGTTCCAAATCTAGCATAATGATCACATATATAAATATTCCACCCAAATCAACTACATCATCATACCTAAAAATAAACCCCTAATACTAACCTTGAAATCTGAATCGGAGTCCTGGTGTACCTCATAGCCAAAGCATCAGTAACATCCTGATCAACAACAATAACCACCTCTGACTGTATCAACGGCATAGTCCTCGCAGTGACATTGGTCAGTTCGCTCACCAGATCATGAGAAGTCGTCGCGACGGAGAAGACATACTCAACCCCCGGAATGAGGTTCCCAATGACAAACTTATCAGGATCCTCCTCTAGCCCAGAGATGTTCTTGCTTCTAACTCCAAGATCATCTCCAGGATCGCTGGTCGCGGACCAGGTGAAGGTGAAGAACTCGATTCTACCTTGGGGCCTGGGGAACTCCAGGGTGACGTTGGTTGAGTCGACGATAGGAGTGATGTTGGTCACTGGGTTCGGAGCGACTGTGTGGTTCACCTGGAGTGGGTACAGACTTTCTACTCCAAAGCTGACGGTGTTCACTTGGATGACATATCGTTCCCCAGGAGTCAGTTCCAAGATTTCAGCCTCGGTTCTGCGAACACTGGGCAATCTTGTCCAGGTAGAGTCGTCAGTTCGGAACTTGACGGAGTATTCAGAGAAGAGGGAGTTAATGGGAGGACTCCAGCGAACTAGAACAGACTTGTTCCCTAAATCAACCCGGTCAATTCTGAGATGTTGAGGCGGGTGCGGAAGCACAGCCTGGAAATAATCATGAGGTTCGCTCTTCAACCCGTGGCTAATAGCGAAGACCTTGACCTCGTACCCGGCTCCAGGGTAAAGGTCCTCGAGAATAATGTGGGACTCAGTTGTGAGAGTCGTGGCACTTTCCCCGGTGTCGTTTCTTGTGTGAGTGATCTCGAACTTCTCCTGGCGGGAGTTCACGTCAGACTTCCAGGAGATGTTCAGCCCGCGTTCGATAGACTTGAGGTCTTCAATAATCGGGCTGGAGGGTCTTGTTACCTGGTAGATCACCGTTTCGTTGCTCTCGACCTTGTTGGAGATTGCTGCGACGATTATGGTGTAGTTACGGCCGGGCAGAAGCGCCTCCAGAACTACTCGGGTCTTTTCGATGGTCAGGGTGTTGCTGTCGCCGGAACTTGCAGTGTCTACTTCGTGGTACTCGAGACGGTAACTGTCCTGGATACTTGTGTTGTCGGGGCGCCAGGATACTTCTAGCATTCGCTCGTCGATACTCGCTCGCAGGTCGCGAACTGGAAGGGGTTTTAAGGTTATGTCACCGCTTGCTGGCCAGGAGGTCACTTTGCCTGAGACGGTTTTTACGACGACCTGAAGAAGAAATTTTAAGGTTAATGTGGTTCTAGGAACAAGATCTTGGATTAGTTCTGAAGGAACGATCTTAAAAATGTTCCCAAAGAACAAGATCTTAGATGGGTTCTGTAAGAATAAGATTTAAAAAATGGTTCTTAGAACAAGATCTTAGATAAGTTCTAAAGGAACGATCTTAAGAATATTCTGAAGGAACAAGATCTTAAAAATGGTTCAGAGGAATAAGATGTTAAATGAGTTTTATAAGAACAAGATCTTAGATAAGTTCTGAAGGAACGATCTTAAAAATACTCTGAAAGAACAAGAACTTAAAAATGATTCTTAGAACAAGATCTTAGATACGTTCCATAGGAACAATCTTGAAAATGTTTTAAAGGAACATGATCTTAAAAATGTTCTAAAGGAACAAGATCTTAGAAATGTTCCTAAAAAACAAGATCTTAAAAATGTTCTAAAGGAACAAGATCTTGAAAATGTTTAAAAAAAAAAAGTTTTGCCATAAAATTTACTCATCAAAGATCTGATTCCTGTTCTTAGAACCAGATTTTAAGTACCAAGATCTAGAAATTTTCTTACAAGAGCTTCTAATAAAAAAATTTAGGAACAATTTTAATAAAATTCCACCCAAGATCTGATTCCTTCTTGAAACAAGATATTATAATGTCTCACTTGATAAGTTTTGCCAGCCTCTAGATCATGGAACTCCCAAGAAGTGCTGTCCTCTTCATACCTGTTCCTCGTAACAGTAGGAACCCTCCGATTGTTCCCAAGTGAAACCTGATATTTGTCAAACTCCGAGCTGCCGTTGGGAGGACTCCAAAAGACCCTGAAGCTACTGGAGGTGATCGAAGACCTGTCAAAGGTGACATTTAGCGGCCTCAACGGAACCGTTCTGTACTGAGCCGTGGTAGGAGCCGAAGTTTCGTCCTCAGACACGGTTTGGACCGAAATATTGTACGCCCGACCAGGAACCAGGTCTTTGAAGGCCGCCTGAGCAGGACCTGGAGGTTCTCCCTCTTTTTCTACGTAGAAAACAGACTCGACAGCATCTGGAGGTTCAATGCTGACCTTGTAGTGGGTGTAGATCCCAGCAGGGTACGGAGGCTGCCAGAGAACCAGGAGGGTGGTCTCATTCCTGAACCAGACGATGAACTTCCCCGGAGTGTTAGGCTTGGTGGTGAAGTTCTTGCTGGTGTAAGCGACGCTTTCCTTCGCCTCCAGGACTGTGAACAGCTGGAGAGAGTAGGTGGCGCCAGGAGTCAGGTCTCGCAATGTGTACGGAATGGCGTCGGAGGAGATCACGCTGGTCCTGGTCGTCGACGGAGGGTTCGCCAGGTCGTTGAAACTCTGTACCCGCATTCTGAACCCAGAGTAATTTCCCTCGGCGGGAGGCGACCAGTAGACCACTGCCGTCTTGCCGTTCCTCACCAGGACTGTCAGGTTTGATGGAGGGTCAGGCGCTGTCGTGATAGACGCCGTCCAGGTCAGCCAGTCGTTCCAGGAACCGTTGTTGTAATATAACCAGAACTCGTATTTGGTCCCAGCTAATCCTTTCTGGAACTTGATCACATCTCCAATGTCCACCGCGGGAATTTTTGTGTTCGGTGGTGGCTCCCCCACAGGCGGACTGTAGTCCAGGCGGTACCAGGTTCCTTGCTGGGTCAAGTTCCCAGGAATCTCGATTGCAAGGTCCGCTGAATCCGAGCGCCATACCTGGGCAAGAGTTTGGTTAGGTTTTGAGTTCCTGGACAAAACCTCCAGGAGTAGGTGGTCATGTGGGTATTCTATGGAAAGCTCTTGACCTAGGGAAGCTAATAGGTATTGTCCCGTTGATGAATAATGAGACGGTCGGGATAGAGAAGGTGAGGTTTTTAGGTCACAGTTAGAGAAATTTTTTGGATCAGTGAAGCGGGAAGTTGTCATTTATTATGGTAATGAGGTAGAGTTATTATTATTATTTGACGGTTTTAAAATTTTAAATAATAATAATAGAAGTATATTGTGGTTTTGCGTTAGCTATTTTTTTGGTTTTAATACATGTTAAAATTTTGCAATTAAAATAGATGGTAGAAGATTGTTGGCCACCTTAGCCCCATTTTTGGCTAGTTAATATTTGTAAAAAATTTATGTTATAACCATATTTTTGTTGAGTTTTAGAAAAATTTATAACAAAACAAATTGAGTTTGTAATAACAATATTTAAGATATAACATTTAAGATAAATTCAAATTTTTGATATATTCCTTCAACAACCTTTTAAATATATTAATTGTATTCTCTGTTTTGATTTAATCTGGTAATCGATTATAATAATTGAAACCCTTATAAGCTAGACTTTTCTCCACTGAGTAAGTTCAAGTAGATAATACATTAATATCAATTTTTCTTTCTAGTTTCATATTTATGTTTACTATCAATCTTTTCTATTTTTTTATATAAATAATTCGACTTATAATTGAATATAACTTTATGTATCAAGATACAAGAGTTATATATTAGCTTTTGTTTAATGTTCATCCAACCTAACACCTCTAATATATCTTTAATATGTGTGTATCTGTTTATTTCTAATATTAAATGCATGGCTCTATTCTGCACTTTTTGGATATCATTCATCATTTTTTCTGAGTAATTTAACATGATACTACTACAATAATTAATATGGGGCTCAATAATAGCTCTATAGATAACGATATGGCTACCTTAATAAATATTATTATTATTATTATATTTGTAATAATAATAATTATAATAATAATAATAATTTTTTAATTTCTTCTTTATTTTTTTCATTATTATTATTATTATTATTATTATTATTATTATTATTATTATTATTATTATAATAGTGATAAATTTTTGATTTCTTCTTTATTATTATTATTATTATTATTATTATTATTATTATTATTATTATTATTTCAACCCAAAAATAAAATATAATAATAAACTTACCTGAATCCCAAAGACAATAAAAAAAAACTTCCAGCTCATACTATCTCTCCAAAAATAAACAGGAAGACGTTTCTCAAAAAACTCCCTCCCAAATTATGTTGACCATCTCAAAAAACTATAAACCAAAAAATCTCCACCTCGAAATTCAGCACCCGGAAATCTCCGCTTCTAAAACCTCCAATTTATCCATTGAACAACAATCGACATTAATCGCTACCTGAAACAACAGTAATAATTCATCAGCACAAATAATATATCCTCTCACTTCTACACACAGACACACAATATACATTACAAAAAAAAATTCTAACTTTCATTTCATTTTACATTTTTTAACATTTTACTTACAATATAATATATATAACAGAAAACAATTAAATATTATTGCAACACAATTTTATTTATTTATTCAATTTAATAATAATAATAATTTTTCTTACCATATTGACACTTGAAATTTTTATTATTTATTACCGTTATCACTTTTTTTTTTCACATTAATTATAAATAATTATAATTTATTTTTTTTTTACAATAATTTAAGTATAAAAATTTTTTTTATTATTAATTATTATTATTATTATTTATAATTTTTATTGTTTAAAAATTATCTGTCAAAAGTTTTATCAACTAAGTTTAAGAATGTAATAAAAATAATAACAATAATTACTATTAAAATTACAAGAATGTATAAAAAAATTATTTATAAGAGAATCGCCCACGACTGGGAATGGGACACTTAATAATAATAATAATAATAATAATAACAATAATAATAGTAATAATAATAATAATAATTATTATTATTATTCTAATAAAAACTAAAATTAACTTCTACAGCTGGCTGTCAGATGCCGCCATTTTGAAATTTTTAAGTTACTATTTCTGCCGCGAGGTGGCGCGTCAGTAGTTTTTAAATAATAATAATAATAATAGTGTTGTTTACAGTGAGGCAGTAATATTTTTTTACTCGTAAATTCTTCCACGCGGGTGACAGTATTTTATTATTTTTAGTTTTATTTTCTTGCACGTGAATTTTAGAAATTAATTATTAAATGGAATAAATATTTTATTTTAAGTAAAATTTTATTTTAAAATGGGAAAAATTCCTGACAGGTAGGAAATTTTTTTGGATTTTTATTTTTGGAGGTTATTTTTATTTATTTATTTTTTTTTGAGTGTTAATTGGTTATTTTTATAAATAATTAAGAGAAATTTTGATACTTTAATCAGCTGACATTTTATAATTTTTAATAATTAAAATTTAGCTAAAAATTACAAGTGAAAATTTATAAAATTTTTATTTTTGGAGTATTAATATTAATTTTTTTTTTAATTAAAAAATTGTCAGTGTTAATTTTTTTTAATGAAAATTTTGACATTAATGGAATTAAAATTAACACTTACATTTTTTTATATTTAATAAAAAGAAATTAACTCCAAAAAAATTGTATTTTTGCTATAATTTATTTTTTTTAAATTATTGTAAAATATATAATTAAAATTTAAAATTTTAATTATTTACAGAGTTAAATTATAATATTAAAATTAACAATTTTTTAATTTTATTTGTTTAAAAAAATTATATTTAAAAAATTACATTTTTTATTTTTTAAAATTTCTACAAGTCAATTTTTTTTTTGCCATAATTTATTTGCAATAAAATTTTTTAAATTATTAAATATATTCTAAATTAATTTTTATAAATTAATAGTTTAAATTTAAAACAATAATTATAAAAATTTGGAGTTAAAATTCTAAATTAAAATTTTTAATTGATAAAAATTTAGAATTAAAAATAAATTTATTTTTTAAGTTAAAATTTCAATTATTAATTTTATTTCTAAATTAAAAAATAATTTTAATTTTACAAATTAAATAAATTTCACCTAATTAAAGTTAGCTGTCACTTGACCATTTTTTTAATTTTATTCAATAAAAAAATTGATTCCAAAAAATTTTTTTTTAAAAATTGCATTTTTAATTTATTAAATTTTCTAAATGTTCATTTTTTTTTCTCAATTTTTTATCCAATAATTTATTAGAAAAATTCTAAAATCTATTAAATTAATTTCCACAAAAATTTCTTTCTTACCAATAAAAATCTTTTTTACCAACACAATTTTTTTTATTTCACCGCTAGATGGCGCCACTGTACCCTCCTAAAAAATTACGTCACCAAAAAATTCATTTAATTAAATCTCAGCTATAAATCACTCTAAAAAAAAAAAAAAATACTTGAATCCCAAAAATCAATAAATTAAAATTTCAATTTTTAATTATTCACTTCAATAAATTATATTAATATAACCAATGAATTTTAATTATAAGCCTGATAATTAATTATTTAATTTTACCTGGTGCAATAAATTGATTTTATTTGTAAATTAACAATTAATAATATTTTTATTTTTTTTTTTGTTTTAGATGGTTGGACTACAAACCTTGTGGAGTCGCGATAAAAGGCACCAGGATAGTCGCGTTCAAAGTTCCTCTGGCCGACGTGAGTAATAATCTAATAAAATTTATAATTACTATAAATTTCGCGCGTAAAATTCAAAAAATTTGAAAATCTGGCGGGGATTTTTAAATAATCGATTTTAAAATATTTCGCGGTGTAATTACAGCAATTAAATTGACCTCGAGGTAAAAATAAAGAAATTAATATAGATAATTAAAAGTAATTACGGAATTTAATACTTGATCCGCGTAAATCTTGATCAAAAGTGTGTAAATCCGGAAAAACCCGGGATATTACTACAGCGAGGTACGCACGCCCACGTTCATTTAATTACCGAGATATTATCGTTTAATTCTCGGTATTTTTCCGCAATCAAAAAAACCTAATATAATAATAACTTAAATTAACTGGGACCGGAATTTTATTTATTTTATTTTAAAGGAATTTTAGTTTGAAAGAATTTTAGATTTTTTGGTGATTTTATTTTAATTAAAGTTGCAGCTAATTATATTAAAATTTATAAAAAAAGACAGAAATTAAATTATTAATAAAAAAAATTATTAGTAAAAATCTTTAGATACATAATTAAGAAATGACCTTTTGTGTCTTGTGAAATATTGAAATTTTTTGAGATATAAGCTCATCTTGATGATATACTCAGCAAGACCTTTCATTTGAATACCCACATCAATTTTTCATATATTTTATATATTTATATATATTATATATATGTATATATGAAAAATATATCAAAAATGCATGTGGGTACTCAAATGAAAGGTCTTGATGAGTATAACATCAGGATGAGCTTATATCTTTAAAAACGTCAATATTTAAAAAACGTACAGTGATATTTATCGAACCGGATCTAAACCGATAAACTATGATAAAAAGAAATTTTCTCCAAATAGAAGAACGTTCTCTATAATTGAAATTTTATTAAAATTACACTTCTATATATTTATTTCCCATCCATGGTGATACCATGGAAATATTTAAAATTCTACTCGATAAATATCTTTGAATTTGACTCGTCATCTACAGTTTACATCCCCAAGCGGTCTTTCTCTACCCAGCGTATGTTTTTTCCAACAGATTTTTTTAAACTTTCAGCGCAGGCCAGGCGCCAGGGCGTTAAATACACACTTATCACTTCCCATTAAACACGTCGTATCCTTTCTTTTCATATGTTAATAATAAGTAACCAGAATTTTTCTTTCAATACACCCAAATTTTATTTTTTAAAAAAATTATTTGAAAAACAAAAAAATCAAATTTCGCAACAAAATTTTTCTATTGAAAAAAAAAAAAAAAAAACAAATCTAGCGGTTTAAATTCTTGACCACCTGCTTAGCCGATTTAGATTTCCTTATCGATTTCCACAAAAACTACCGGCGTGTTACTTTTAAAAAGACCAACAAGTCGCTAAACGCCTTTGAATTTAGAATAGGCAAGAAGAAAAAAAAAGGGCGTGAAAGGTGTAAATAGACACGGTGATAGTGCACATTTTTATTAAAAAAAAACTTAATATATTATTTATTTATATTTCTCAAAAGCCTTATCCCAAAATCCCATTCCGTCTTTTGTTTCCTTTCCTTTGATGTTTTCAGAAACAAACACTTTTTAAATTATAACCCACTAGTTTAACTACACATATAATATGTTATATATGAGAAGAGGTATAAGTATAATACAGTATATATAAAAAGGATCGTTAATCTTTCAACGATTCACGCAGATCGTTAATATTCCTAATTCTTTTTTTTTTTTTTAATATACTTTTGACCTTCTACCTATCTAAAAATACATTTATAATTAATAATCAATGAATTTTTATGTCTAGAACGATTTGATTCGATAAATCGGTTGTTTGATTTAATAAATACCGATGAAAGTTATGAAATAGTCACTTTTTTTTTTTTATTATTCAAATAAAATTTTTTTTAAGTCAACTGTTAAAACTTAAATTTTTTAAGGATATAAGCTCATTTCGATGATATACTCATCAAGAGCTTTAATTTGAGTACCCACTTGCATTTTTGATATATTTTTCATATATACATATATATAATATATATTTTTAAAATATAAGCTCATCTTGATGTTACTCTTATCAAGAGCTTTCATTTGACTACCCACTTGCATTTTTGATATATTTTTCATATAGACATATATATAATATATATATATATAAATATATAAAATATATAAGAAATTGATGTGGGTATTCAAATGAAAGGTCTCGATGAGTATAACATCAAGATGAGCTTATATCTTAGAAAATGTCAAGATTTCACAAGATACAAGGTCATTTCTTTGTAATATAAATAATAATAAGATTCAAAAATAGAATATGAATAATATTTATTGAAAGAAATTACATAACAATTCAATTAGAACCTTTCAACAACTGATCAAAGTACTTTCCAATATCAACGATCTGTTCAGGAGACAGCTCCGTAGACTTTCCTTGGTTGTCAATGAACACCAGTTTCCCAGCACTGGATTTAGTGCTTCTAGTAGTTGGAAGGTCTCTTGGAACAGTTGGTCTCAAAGAAGTTGGGAAGTAAACACCTCCAGAAACACCTCCAGTAACACCTCCAGAAACACCTCCAGTAACACCTCCAGTAACACCTCCAGAAACACCTCCAGTAGGAGGTGATCCTGGGTTATAATTGGTTGGGAAGTAAGGACCTCCAGTAGGAGGTGATCCTGGGTTATAATTGGTTGGGAAGTAAGGACCTCCAGTAGGAGGTGATCCTGGGTTATAATTGGTTGGGAAGTAAGGACCTCCAGTAGGAGGTGATCCTGGGTTATAATTGGTTGGGAAGTAAGGACCTCCTGTAGGAATTATTGGATCAGATGTAGGAGGCAATGGGTTTCTTCTTGGAGGAGGTGCTGGATTGAAGCCTGAAGGTAATGGAATGTTTTCAGGATTGAACATCGATTCTATGGTTGGAGGTTGAGCGCTTGCAGTGAAACTTGTTGGAGCTGTAGGTGCTGGACGAGCGTTTGCATTGGAATTCGTTGAAACAGATGTAGTTGGGCCTTCAGTTGGAGCTGCAGGTGCTGGTTGCTTACCCTTATTCTGGATTTTGGTTATGAAACTTCCGACTACTTGTCCAAAGATTTTTTTTCCTTGTTCAGCCAACTAAAACAAAAAATTTTATCAATTTAATCAATTATGACTAGCAACCTTGCAGTCACTATTAAATAATGACTTTTGTTAAATTGCACTGTATTTTTTTAACTGTTGACATTTTTAAAGATATAAGCTCATCATGATGTTACACTCATCAAGAGCTTTCATTTGAGTACCCACATGAATTTTTGATATATTTATATATTATATATTACATACCTATATGTATAATATATAAATATATGAAAAATTTATGTGGGTACTTAAATGAAAGCTCTTGATGAGTGTAACATCAGGATGAGCTTATATCTTTAAAAATGTCAATATTTTACAAAATACGAGATAATTTCTTAATTATGTATCTAGAGATAGAGCATTTTTGAATGCAGCCTAAATACTTATTATCATAAATTGACTATCAGTGAGAATGATATGAAACCTTTGAAAAGGCACAAATTCAAATCAAGACCTTTGCAGTGACACTAAATTTCATTTAAAAATTTTGCTTATTCTCTTAATAATATAGATTATTAATCGCCAAATTTGCAATTGATTAGGTACTTACGCCATCAACCTTGTCAGCAAATTTGTATGTCTTGTCACCGAATTCGCGTTTCAAGTTGCCTATTGGAGTTTCTTGGGGTTCATCGGATTTGTCAAAAATGTGCCAAATGTGAGCCTTTAAATAACCAAAAAAAAAATAATTTTAATCTACTTATTTTATGATTAAATTATTGATAATTAAATGATTATCATACCTTGCGGTCCCAGGCGTCACCTCGAGCATGTTGCCAGTCTCCAATTCGACGAAAGAAATTCCCAGGAAGGGTGCGTTCATTTGCATCGACGAAATTGTGCTAAAATTACAAAAAAATTGTGATTATTTTTTCAAAATAACTCCGAAACTACTTTTTCGATTTGTTTGAAATTTAAAAGGGGTCTTAAGGTTGTAAAACAACGTCGATTGCCGTCAACCCGATCTAAATCGGCCAATTAGTTCAAAAGTAATCGTCAAAAATGATCATCAATTCGCCAAAACAGCGAATTCGAAAATTTTTTTCCATTTTTTGCAATAATTAAAAAACGGCTTTGCCGATTTATTTGAAATTCTAAAGGGGTCTTAAGGTTGGAAAACAACGTCGATTACCACCATCCCGATCTAAATCGGCAAATTAGTTCAAAAGTTATGGTGTTTAAAAATTTACAAAAATTAACGATATTTGCGAAATATTGAATTTAAATAGTTATTTAATTTAAAATAATACCTGGGATAGCACACAAATGAAGAGAACAAAAAAACCCAATTTGAGAAACATATTGAACTTGTTACAATTTCAAAGTATTACTCAACACTTATCTGAGCAATTACGACTTATATTTATACTTCTAGTCCCTACTTACAAAAAATGTCACGTTGGCATCGATATTACGAATTATAATAATAATAATTAGAGTAGAGCAATAAGATGGTGGTAGTAATTAATATATTACGTGGCAAAATTCTGGACGTAAATAAGAATTTACTAGCCTTGAGATATCTATGCTTTGTTCTTTTATGATAATGATAATAAAAAAATAATTAGATAAATGTGAATTCTTGGGAATTCATAAGATATAATTTGATGGTATCTTTTGTGGTGTGAGTCAGATTTTTTAATAAATTAATTATCAGTTATTATTAGAATATTTATAGAATATATGGGTCATTCCACCAAATAAGAATATTTTTACGGGGCGACCCTCACGGATTATGTTTAAAATTTATGGAGGTGTTCTCTATCATAAGATAAAAATTCCCTGAGAGTTTTAGCTCTTAATACGCAGCGGTCTTGAAGTTATGATTTTTTGAAATTCTGGAAAAAATTTTTTTTCAACTTTTTCGTCAATTTTTCTGATATAAAAAACATTTTTTAACAAAATCGACAAACATTGTATTTTGTAGGAAAAATTCTCAGCTTTCGAATGAAAATATTCATTTTTTCATAAACTCATCAGAAGACCCTTAAAAATCGAATTAAAGTGGAAAAATTGATTTTTTTCGGTGTGCAGCCCAAAATTCTTCAAATTTGAATTTTTTTCTGAAAGTTGAGAGTTTTTTACACAAAATATAGCGTTTTTTTGTTTCGTCACAATTAAATTAAATGTTAGATTCACTATGCAGTACCCGCATGGAGAAATATATATGTCAAAAATATATGTCGCATATATTTACGCAAAAAAAAAAATATGTCAACATATATTTTTCACATAGATGCTGACATATATGCAGAGATACATGCTTACATATATGTAAGCATACACTGAAAAAAAAATTTCTAAGTTTGAGAATTTTTTTACTCAAATCAAGAAAGTTATATTTTTCAAAATTATTTTCTTGATTCAAGTTAAATTTCTTTCTGTGTATCTCTAGACACTTATATGCGCACATATATGTAAACATATATGCGGACTTATATTTAGCGCAAAAAAAATATATGTGAAAATATATATTTGCATATATTTTTCCATGCGGGCTAATATAATTCAGAATAGTAATATAATTTTCTCTTCAATATTAAAATTATAGTACTCAGAAATTTTGAACCACCTGCTTAAAAGATGTGTCTATACTTCGTCACTTATCATGGAGATGGCGCTCACAACTCCCTCTATTTACTTTCATTTTGTGATTCTTTGTTGAGCGATTTTTTTTCGGATCGTTTGTTCTTAACAAAAATATAATTGCTCAAGTTTTTAAGTAATAATTATTGCGTTACTTTGATATTTCATCGCCATGAGTAAACGTATACGGTGAGTAAATTGTTGTAATCCATTCAATAAGTCACGTAAGTAACTAATACAGTGCACTTTACCTATTATGTATAACCTCTACGTAGAACCAATTAAATTAATGGCCTTGTGTTTAATATTGACTTTTGACATCTAATTAAACGAAACTTTTAGATAAAAAAGGAGTTAAAGATTTAAGAAAATTTCCCGACGAAGATCGTTGGAAATTTCCTGACTTAGATGACACTTCAATGTTATGTGTGCGTTGTCGATTCCGTGTCAAAGAATATATTCCGCCGGCATCAGAGGAAGAGGAAATTATTTCAAGTCAAATTAGTGTTGAAAGTCTGAGTATATCAGCTGAAATTAGTACTCAAGGAAGCAGTTTATCTCGAACTGTCAGTAATTTTAGCGACAATCTATGTGATTACAATGATCATTCTTTAGAGCGATTTTTGAAAATTCCTCTTATTGAAAAAGACAGGTAAAAATTTTCTATTGATTAAGTTTTTCATTTACTGAGTGAAAACTTACTTAATTATTTTTCTATGCGTTTAATTTAAGGTTATATTCTGAAAAAAATTATCGAGTAAAAAAACTTGATGAGAGCTATGCTGACCTAGAGAATAAGTTCCAATCACAATTTGGAATAGTACCTGAATCTACCAACAGAAAGATTAATCAAGATCATTGTTCCATGATAGCTAAAGTGAAGAAATTATATAACGCTGAAAGTGACAAGTAAATTTTTTTAACAGTCGATCATTTTAAAATATCTTCATTTTTTCATATTAATACGATCGATCGTTTGCTTTACAGATCAATAAAAAAGAAGCTGCTTTCAATTTTACCCGACAGTTGGGAAGTCAGTCGTATAGCATCTGAATTTAACTGTTCTCGAAAAATGGTACTGAATCTTAAAAATGATATCAGTGAATCTGAGAATGTTGATTTAGACTCTGGTGAAATGACTACTAATACTTTGAATCCCACAAAAGCTCTAGGCAATCAGCCGCTTAAGTTAGATGTAAAAAACTTGTCATTGATTTTTATGAAAGCGAAGAAAACTCAAAACAATTAAGCTTTTGAAACATGATTTTATTGCGAAAACACAAAGTCTCGATTTTTTTCTGATACAAAACTAAATTTAAAGAGCGGGGAATTCGCCGTAGTATTTGACTTTGCGGAAAATTATGCATTCGTTGTGCAGGAAGCAGCTCAAGGCCTCCATTGGAATAATGATCAAGCTACTATATTTCCAATGGTGATTTATTACAACGAAAATGATACTATTAAGCATTTGAGCTTTGTTGGTATTTCAGATTGTCTTAAGCACGACACAGTTTTAATTTATTTATTTCAAGCGCAATTGATTGCCTTTTTTAAAAAAGAAGTTTGCTGTCATCAATACGATTTTTTACTTCTCCGATGGAGCTCCACAACAATTCAAAAACAAGAAAGCATTTACAAACTTATGTTATCATTATGCTGACTTCGAAATCAACGCTGAGTGGCATTTTTTTGCAACTGCCCATGGCAAAGGACCATGCGATGGTCTTGCAGGTTCATTAAAACGATATGCTGCTAGAGCTTCATTACAAATGAACAATAAAGAGCATATACTGAAACCACAAGATTTGTTTTCCTGGGGAAAGAAAAATTTTACAAGCGTTGACTTTACTTTTATAGCTAATGACGATTATTTAATAAAAAAAAATGTGTTAGACGTACGATATTCTCAATCGAAAACGGTGAAAGGTACACAGTCATTACACACTTTTGTGTCTTTAAAAGATGAAATTGGTTGTGCTTTCATTAAAACTGTGTCCACATCTCAAAAAAGTTCAAAAATAAAAGTATTTTAATTATAATGAATTTGCGTTTAATTTAATTGTGACGAAAAAAAAAATATGCACATCGGCAAAACGCTATATTTTGTGTAAAAAACTCTCAACTTTCAGAAAAAAAATTCAAATTTGAAGAATTTTGGGCTGCACACCGAAAAAAATCAATTTTTCCACTTTAATTCGATTTTTAAGGGTCTTCTGATGAGTTTATGAAAAAATGAATATTTTCATTCGAAAGCTGAGAATTTTTCCTACAAAATACAATGTTTGTCGATTTTGTTAAAAAATGTTTTTTATATCAGAAAAATTGACGAAAAAGTTGAAAAAAAATTTTTTCCAAAATTTCAAAAAATCATAACTTCAAGACCGCTGCGTATTAAGAGCTAAAACTCTCAGGGAATTTTTGTCTTATGATAAAGAACACCTCCATAAATTTTAAACATAATCCGCGAGGGTCGCCCCGTAAAAATGTTCTTATTTGGTGGAATGACCCATATTTAAAATATAGATAATTGTAGATGAATAACTTAGAAAAAAAAAGGGCTGAATTTTTTCTAAAAAAAAAAAAAAAAAAAACGGGTCTCAGGTAAATCGCGGGTAATTCACCCAACTGTTAGGTATCCAGAAAAATCCGTTATTTATTTGTGTCTTTCGGCGCTCCACCAAAGTACCGAAAAAAAATAATAAAACGGATACAATAAAACTGAGTATGAAATAAAATAAAGAGATATATTTAGTGTAAAAATGGGAAGCTGTTTCCGGTGAGTAGATTTAAGGATACATTTACAAGCCGGTATTTTTCCGATCTTTTTTCTCTACCGCTATTTCTTTTTACTCCATAGCCAAGACCGATTCAAGTTTACAGTTTGACTTGTGTCCAGTTTCGTTAATAAAAGAACAGACGCGTGGTCAATTGCGCTTACACAATACTAAATGACCTTATGCCGGATAATAACAATAATAAAGGGCGTAGGCTATAAATTCCGTAGACAAATTTTGGGACGGCTTTGTGTTGTAAACAGACGCTGGGGGTAACGAATGGACGGGGGGAATGCACAGTGAAAGTAGAGAAAACAAATAAGTCGGGTGGTTTCTGAGAAGCAGGTGGCCGGAGGATTCTACACCGCGGAAGTCAATTTGACGGTCATTTCACGAATTAGAGATGTTTGTTTGGGTATTACCTTGGAAGTTCTTTTTTTTTCAATTCGAAAAGTTGACTTTAGAGTAAACACAAACTTTCGGAACAATACAGGAAGTTAAGTTAGAAAGAATCAAGACAATTGGTTGATTAGTTTTTGAGTTATAGTCACTTAAATATAGAAAATACGAAAAACGGAAAAAAACTTTTTTTTTACTGGACCGGAATTTTAAGCTAATTTATTGTGGGAATCTTGGGGACAATATAAGAAGTTAAGATACGAAGAATCAAATCAATCGATCGATTAGTTTCGGAGATATAGTCATTTAAATATAGAAAATAGGAAAAACAAAAAAAAACTTTTTTTTGCTGGGTTGGGATTTTTAGCTGATTTTTTGTGGAGACCTTGGGAATAATATAAGGAGTAAAGTTGATAAGAATCAAGTCAATCGATTGATTAGATTCTGAGTTATAGTTATTTATAAATGGGAAATACGAAAAATGAAAAAAAACTTTTTTTGACTGGGTTGAAATTTTGAGCTGATTTTTTGTGGGAATCTTGGGGACAATATAAGAAATTATGTTGGAGAGAATGAAGTCAATCGGTCGATTAGTTTCGGAGTTATAGTAATTTAAAAATAAAAAAATAGCATTTTCTGCGATTTTTTTTTCTCCAGAGAATTTAGTAGAAAAAAAAAGAATTAAAGTTGAATAAATTGAATAAAATAATCTATTAGATAATTAATACAACGTAGAAGTGGGTGTGCATAAATAAAAAATAAAGCATAAAAAAATGTCCGGGTAAATTGAAATTCATATTTTACCACCCTCCTATCGCATCTACAACCTACAACCCCTCGAAAATTTTATAATGGGTGGGCTCTACTAATATTAATAATGGGTTTTAGTAATCCACGGGCCCGATTCGATTGACTGGGCGGTTTGAGATCCTATCTAGCCAACTAACGAAATTTTTTATTTATTTTTTTTATTCGTACAACCGAATCCACTCTTGCTTTTACATTTTTGGTCAATATTAATAAATATTATCGTACAGTCGTTGTAATTAAAAGCACTAAAAAATAATTACACGGGTCTTTTTTTACAATTAAAATTTTTTTTTTCAAAATACTGCTATCATCAAAAAATTTTACGCGTGTCTGTTTTAAAAAAATCGTGATGATTCCCAACATAAAGGATAAATAATAAAAATATTAACCTATAATTCAATTGACACCTAATAACACGTCTCCTTAAATCCACGGGCACATAAAAACTTCAAAAATAAAAAAATAATCATGCATGATAAAAGGAGGCTCTTTTATTTCAACCTTTATATTTATAAATTTTAAAAACTGAGACCTCTTTGACCCGCGGAGTTTCTGCGCCCCAGGAGGTCTTTGCCGCTTTTGCAACAAACATTACCCATTTGTACTTTATTGTGGATGTTAATTCAGATATAGTTCAATAAAACTTTTATGACCTTTTTTTTTATTTTATCCACCGGTATAAACACGTAATTTTTTTTTAGACACAGAATAAGGATAATGAGAATTAATCGCGTCTTTTGTTCGAATAAAGGATCTTGCGCGACCTATTTTTGATTATTTTAGTAATGGAATTATTTTTATACTCATGACAAATGCAGGTTGTCGTTAAATTTTTTTTTAGACATGACTAATTAGGGTACAAGTGAATGATTAAATTTTTTTTTGAATTTATAGTCGTGAATTTTAGTTGGTTGATGACATTTTAGATGGTTATTAGTCTGAATTTATTTATTGAGTGGAAAAAAAAAATTTAGTAGCGCAAAAAAACGCAGAAATGGTATTTTTTATTTTTTAACAACTATAACTCCGAAACTAATCGATTGATTGACTTGATTCTTTTTAAATTAACTTCTTATAGTGACTTAAAGGTCTCCATAAAAAATCAGCTCAAAATTTCGACCCAATAAAAAAAAATTTTTTTCCGTTTTTCGTATTTTCCATTATCAAACGACTATATCTCAGAAACTAATCAACCGATTAACTTGATTTTCTCTAACTTAACTTCTTATATTGTCCCAAAGGTCCCTACCAAAAATTAGCTAAAAATTCCGTACCTGGGCCCATAACCTGCAATATTTCCAATTTTCTATACCTATTAAATAATTCTTATCCCACTATATAAATTAATATTATTTATTTCTTTATTGTACTTAATTTAAATTGTTATAAAAGATGAACGCGAAAAAAAAACCTTTGACATTTATCCAATAGATTTTTTTTCCGGTCCCGTATTCTGTATCAGGAAAGTGGTTCTGTCATATCCATGGACGTATTTACGCACAATGCGTTACAAACTGACTACTTTGTCGATATATAATCCTGATTTACTTCCAGCAATATAAATAAATATAAAGAATCGTCCAATTCAATACATTCAATTAAACTTTTTTTTCTGTCTCAACATAAATTCCCCCTCTTTTTTTTCAATTGCATTGCATGCCAGGGCTTGAATTTAATTTTTTTTGCAAAATAAATTTTTCAAAATTCAGCTACTAAAATTGTTTTTTTTTTTTTTTTTTTAGAAGATATCGAGGTATTTACCAGAAAACCAACAGTAAGTTACTTTTATTTGTGTAAAGTAAATAAAAAAGAATATTCTTTTCTTAAAATTAAAATATTTTAGGTTTACACCGGAGGTACTTCTGAAGGCGCTGCCGAACCTTAAATACATAATAGACCTCACAAATACAACGCGGTACTACGACAAGCAGGTAAACATATTTCTTAGTATTCACTGTAGAAGCACAACACCAATTCTAATTAATTATTCAAAATATTTTATTTAACTTTTCCCTTTTCTAATTTAATTAGAGAAGATAGATTTAAATCTAAGATCTCTGAAAAATATAATACTCTATTACAATTTTAGGAAACGGAAAAACAACACCCGAGATAAATATTTAAATTTTTTTTATAAATTTAGATTCCATTCATGTTGTTTTTTTTTTTTTTTTTTATCTGATCTTATTAGATGCGTCTTTCGTCGACCGGCGATTTATCTTTTAATTTCTTCCGTGAAAGTTTAGTTTATAAATTTTGTTAATTAATTGAGTTGATTTGTCTTTTAATTTTGGGTCGATTGAAGAAAGTTTTTTTTGTTATAGGAATTTTTGAAGCTCGGCCTCATGTACAAGAAAGTTCCGGTAGAAGGGAAGCGCGTTCCAATTCAGCGAGATGTTCTCAAGTAAGTTATTTTTATTTGATCGAAATATATATTTGAACTATAATACTAGTATTTTTGAATTTTTGAGCGGGAAAATTAAAGTAAATCAAAATGTATAGAAAATTTGAAGTTGATCTGAAGCTTAGTTTCATTTTGGTAACCAAAAATGTAAGTGCTCTAAGACGTAAATTTAAAATTTGAGAGTTTTGATTTTTGGGGCGGTCAAAATTTTATCGTAGGTCAAAATGTCTTCAAAGGAGGGTGGGAAGTGTCTTAGGGAAGGTGTATATAAAATTTGAAGTTAATCGGCAGCTTAGTTAAATTTTGGTACCCAAAAATGTAAGTGGTCTAAGCAAATTTAAGATTTGGGCTTTTTAATTGTTCTAGGGTGGGGGGAAGGTGTAAAAAAATTATGCTAGGTCAAAATGCCGTCAAAGGGTGTTATAAGGTATCTTAAGGAGGGTGTATATAAAATTTGAAGTTGATTTGAAGCTTGGTTTGTTTTTGGGAACCAAAAATGTTAAAAAAACTCAAAATTTTGATGCTTTAGCTTCAATTTACCAAAATTTCAACTCAAAACCATTGAACAAAAATTTCTAAGCTTTAAAATCGAGATTATAAACATACAAGTGTATAAAGATGTACATACGTTGCTTATATAACGTTTCCGTGAAAGTTTTGCCGGAATAATTTAAATGTTTAGCCTCGCGGCTGGGAGAAGTTGAAATAAAATAATAAATATTCAATAAAATAGAATAAATAAAAAAAAAATAAACATATTACCGAAATGTAAATAATAATAAAAATGCATTTGGTTGATTGATTTATCGTGTGATTATGTGGATGGTTATTGATAAAATAATATAAATATTCAAATTTATACAGTTAAATTAAATATATTCATCGGTAATTTTTCATCTAGGCGGCGCCGCGGCGCTGCGCATTCCTTCATTTTCTTTTTATTATTATTATACGCATATAAATATTATTTCATTATACGTCGACTATTATTTTCAATATCGATAAATCATTTTTTTTATTGGTCCATTTGTCGCGGTTTTTATTTGTATATTAATATCCTACCGATATTCAACGACCGTTTACGCTATTAACTATTCCAGCAATCATTCAATTAAAATAATTGACTTTAAAGTTTTTTTTTTTTTTTTTTTTTATATAAATATTTTTCGCTGAAAAATCTAATGAACTTTTTTTTTTCCGGGGAAATTAACCTTGTTGAAATTCTAAAGCAGCGCGTGGGTGGAAAATAATAAAAAGGTAAAAATGACTTGCGTTTTCACGATCCTCCCGTTCTCCCGGGCATCTATCACTGTTTTGATGCCTCAGACTGGCAACAAGAGGCGTGTTAACCTTTGCACGGCGCCAAGTAACAACTTACTGGCTCCTTTTTCATTTTATTCTCCGTTAAAACCCACACTAACGATAAATAGTTTGTAAGAACGTAACACGAACAAAGATCCCCGAGAAGTGGTTTCTCTCACGCAACAGCTACATTCGTTTTACTGATACTGCCTTTTAATTTTATATTTCGGAGGTTTTCGGCACTAATTTACTTTTATTTAAGCGAAAAAATTGAAAGTTCAAGTTTTTGGACTTTTTTAAAAATATCATTTTTAAGGAAACAACACGTTAGATTTGTTTCAAATTTTGGATATACATTCTTTAAGATATCTTATAACTTGGTTTAAAAGCATTTTTTGATAAAAAAATTTCTTTATACAAAATCAGAGAAAATTAGATAATCGCAATTGCAAATTAAGATTTTGGATTTTTTATATTTTTGGCTCCTATGACCAAACTACCCCTCAGATCAACTTCAAATTTTATATACACCCTCCTGAAGACACCTTATAACACCCTTTGACGGCATTTTGACCTACCATAATTTTTTTACACCTTCCCCCCCCCCCCCACTCCAGACCAATTAAAAAGCCCAAATCTTAAATTTGCGTCAGACCACTTACATTTTTGGTTACCAAAATTGATCTAAGCTGCCGATCAACTTCAAATTTTACATACACCTTCCTTAAGGCACCTCCTACCCTCCTTTAAAGGACATTTTAACCCACGATAAAATTTTGACCGCCCCAAAAATCAAAAAGCCCAAATCTTGAATCTGCCTCTTAAACCACTTACATTTTTTGTTCCCAAAATTAAACTAAGCTTCAGATCAACTTCAAATTTAATAATAACACTCCTCCTAGCCTACTTAAACCTTCGAAAAAATTTTGACCTCTCAGCCGAAAATCCTTCACCTCTCAAAAGGGCAAATAAAAGAGGTTCCGCAATACTAACCGTAAAAAGTTGTTTTCGTCCCGCAGTAAAGAAGATCCGAAGATAAAGAGAGTTTGTAATAATTCACGGGTAGCTTCTCCACTCGTGCATCCCCTTTATTTTCAGCTCATTTTTTACCCCGGTCAATACATAGACGGCTTATTAACGGATTAACTTGAGTCAATAAATAACCCGCGGAATTTATCTTCTGACATTCTCGGCGATTCTTCAGTGGTCAAAACAAATTCTTCTTTTTTTTTTTTTTTTTTAATTTTTTTTAATTTTTGCGCCGTATGATTTTTCTACGTCATAAGTCATAAGCAAGTCGGCCTATTAAAAGGCTGTTTTGACGCCTCTATCTCTACCTAGTCTCACAACAAAATCAACCTAAATCATATTGTTGCCTACTAGCCTTTGAGCGTATCTGCCGCCGTCATTTCGCGGTTATTTGACGCTCTAATTAACTTCTTCCTACCCAGAGCGAAAATCTAACAAAAATCATTGTTAATTTTTTTAGATTCTTCCGGGCTATGGAGCAGTTTACCAAAGACGCCAAAGATGGTGAGTAATTTTTAATATACTTTTTTACCGTGCCAGTACTTGCAAACAAGCAACAAGCGTGAGGTTTTATTATTTGGTACTTCCAATTTACTCATACTCGATTATAACCTTTGCAAGCGTCATGTTGTACATTGCCACGAATGAAACATGAAAGTAAAACATTACTCCTGACGTTTGCTACTGCGTAGGGGACCCTTGAGAATGTGTTCGGGGCAGCAGGTTGTGGGAACACGTGTTACTTTAACGCTTAACTTTTTTTTCGATTTAAATCGACTGAGCTTGCAGAATTCCGCAATAAGAAATTTTTAATGATCTAAACGTCCGATTGATTCCAAATTGGATCTGTAGCTTCTGTAATACCTATTGAAGGAAGCTACAAAATTTGGAACGAATTAATCAAGTACTTTTTGATAGAATCCTTAAAATCAAGCCTAGACCTGGAAAAAACGCTTTTCTACCATTTTTTCAAGGATTCTGACTAAACTGAGCTTCCGATTGGTTCCAAATTGAATCTGTAGCTTCTTTAGAACCTATTTAAGGAAGCTACAAAATTTGGAACGAATTAATCAAGTACTTTTTGATAGAATCCTAAAAATCAAGCCTAGACTCGAAAAAAACGTTTTTCGATCAATTTTTCAAGGATATCGACTAAACTAAGCTTCCGATTGGTTCCAAATTGAATTTGTAGCTTCCTTAGCACCTACCACAGGAACCTAAAAAATTTGGCAAAGATCCATAAAGAACTTTTTGATAGAATCCTGTTCCCCTTCCTAAAAAAAAAAGATAAATTTCTCTAAATTTTTAGAGTTACAATCTCGCCTTTTTCAAACTTCTTTATCTTATAATATATATAATACCCTGAGAATAAAAAGAACAAAAAATCTCCACCCACGCGTATCCAACTGAGCAAACGCGCGAGTTGTTAATTATCTGACGCCGTTTATCAAACACATGAGAAGAAAGTTACTTGTAATACACCTCGGTGTCCTTATTCGATTAACGTTTATTATGTATCACATCGATTAGATTAATAAAAAAAAAAAAGATGATTATTAATTATCCCCATTTTCCTTATATTGCCACCAAAATTCCTTAGAAAATTAATAAACTTCGAGAGGATATTTTTAGAAAAGAAAAAAAAAACGGGAGATGAGCGAAGGTGAAGGAGTTGAGTTATATTATTCTCAACGCATTCCTCGTCGGCGAAAGAGACAACTTGAGAATAGAAATAATAATAAGAATGAGCGGTAGTATGAGGATGAGAAAAAAATGTATACGGTGAGACTAGTAAGCGGAGAAGGAGTTGGACCACCACTTAGCATTTATCAATGACCAACGTGCTCAATATCGAGTATCTAGCTGAGGCAGAGGACTCTCCAATAAAAACTGCCTTTTAAATAAAACAACTTTCCACGAGGATTTAAATAAATAATGAGAATGTTTGCTGAAGGCAAACAATAAAATAACCGATTGCTCAATACTTTACTGATCTGAACTTGTTCTTTGGGGATTACGCTGTTTCTTACCAAAGGGTCGTGGTTTAGAGAAATGGCTTCAAAGAAGCATAGGAAGGGTCGTAAAGAGGGTGGATATAAAATTTGAAGTTGATCTGAAGCTTAGTTCAATTTTGGTAACCAAAAATGTAAGTTGTTTGATGCAAATGCGCTATTTTGGGCTTATTAATTGTTCTGGGGTGGAGGGAGGGTGTTAAAAAATTATGCTAGGTCAAAATCCCGTCAATGGGTGTTATAAGGTATCATAAGGAGGGTGTATATAAAATTTGAAGTTGATCTAAAGCTTAGTTTAATTTTGCTAACCAAAATTGTAAGTTATCTAAGCTACAAATTTGAGATTTGGGTTTTTTAATTGTTCTGGGGTGGGGGGAGGGTTTTAAAAAATTATGGTAGGTCAAAATACCTTCAAAGGAGGGTAGGAAGTGTCTTAGGGAAGGTGTATATAAAATTTGAAGTTGATCTGAAGCTTAGTTTAATTTTGGTAGCCAAAAATGTAAGTTATCTAAGGCTAATTTAAGAATTAGGCTTTTTAATTGTTCTAGGGTGGGAGGAGGGTGTAAAAAAATTATGGTAGATCAAAATGCCATCAAAGGGTGTTATAAAGTATCTTAAGGAGGGTGTATATAAAATTTGAAGTTGATCTGAAGTTTAGTTTGATTTTGGTAACCAAAAATGTAAGTGATCTAAGACGTAAATTTAAGATTTGGGTTTTTTAATTGTTCTGGAGTGGGGGGAGGGTGTAAAAAAATTATGGTAGGTCAAAATGTGCTCAAAGGAGCATAGGAGGGGTTTTTAAGGAGAGTATGTACAAAATTTAAAGTCAATCCGAAGGTTAGTTAGCTATTAAGAACGAAAAATGTTATTGGTTTGAGACGCAAATTAAAATTTTTGACGAGTCAATTTCATTCTGTCATTGCATAAATCACTGTAAATCGTGGACCTTCAGCTGTCGATACTCAATCCTCGAAGATTTAGCTTTAGTTCGAGTAAATTCATTCGATTTAAAAATATTTTTATCGTTTAAAATCGTCGACTACTGAACCTGTAAACCGCCTTCTCATTTTCTTGTGGGTATATATCACTCCAGCACATAAACCGTCCCCTTGGGCATCAGTATTTTCTGCGGTAGCTGACACCTTGACTCACTTGTTTTTATTCGGTTGCATCTAGTGAGCTCGATTAGATTACGCTCAAGATGAAATGAAAACAAAAAAATAACAAAAGCAAGAGCAACAGCATCATGAATAACAATAAGAATAAGAAGTGATTTAAATTCGAACCGGGATTGTTGAGTAATGTGGGAATAACTTGTGCTACTTATCTCAGTGTTTGTCAATTTTTACAAGCCTCGATTTGACCACCCACCGTGTGTTACCAGAATATCGAGAGACAAGTATAGAAAATCAGCGAATACATCTGTCCCGCTGGGAAAGAGCATCCTATCCTGTATCGGCTCTACGGGAGTCGGGTGTACAAAATCGCGGAGGCGGTGTCATCAATTAGCTCCAAGAACGGCATTAATTCAAATCGGCTTTCGATTTAATACTAATTATTTCTATAAACCAACCAGGAATCACCTCAAAAGGACTCATGAGAGATCCTGTCATTTCACTTTGTTCAAGGAGCAACTGATACTTATGGCGCTTGCTACTGCAGTAGGTGGTACTTAAGAATCTCCTCCGGGCTTCAGGTTCCATTAATATAATATACTTTACCAACCGGAACGGTTTTATCAAGATAATTCGCCGATTTTATGGAAATTCCCGTATGTCTTTTACATTTTTGGTTCCTATGACCAAACTACCCCTCAGATCAACTTCAAATTTTATATACACCCTCCTTAAGACTCCTTCTATTCTCGTTTGACGGCATTTTAATCTACCATAATTTTTTTACACCCTCCCCCCACTCCAGAACAACAAAAAAGCCTAAATCTTCTTTTGCATCTTAGATTATTTACATTTTTGGGTACCAAAATTAAACTAAGCTGCCGATCAACTTCAAATTTAACACACACCTTCCCTAAGACACCTCCCACCCTCCTATGAAGGCATTTTGACCTACTGTAATTTTTTCACACCTCCCTCCTCCTAAAAATCAGAAAAACGCTCAAAATCGCAAATTCTTCTCTTAAATCCCAACTTTTTTTGTTACTAAGCTTCAAATCAACTTTAAATTTGATATGTACAGAGAAATAAGGTACTTGGGAGTGTAATTGAAGTGAACAACTACGGTGGGCTAGAGTAAATCTAAATGAAATCTGAAAATAGATTAATTAGAAAGGAGACAGATAGGACGGGGTAGACTGCTGTTAGAGTTAAAAATGATTGCAATATTAATTTAGTTGCTCTAGATTATGCATTAGATGCTGACGTGTTCTCGGAATAATGTTTAAGAAGGAGGATAGTAGTTGTGATACATATGAAAGTATGAATTACTGACATGCAAAACAACAACGACAACAAGATGACCTCGCGTTTTGAGATACCGCTCTGTGGAATGAGTATCACTATATGATGATAATAATAATAATAATAATAATAATAATAATAATAATAATAATAATAATAATAATAATAATAATAATAATATATAAGGGGAATAATAAGAATGTCCTCTCCGGCCTAAGGCAAATAAACGACGACTCAGATTACAACGAATTTTTTCTCGACATATACTACTTACTTCTTGAATTACTTTCACTGCTTTTTTATTATTCATTCTCCGAATAATTATATTCATCGTCTTTATAAATGATAGGTTATTCAATAATTGTTAATTCAATCTTATTACTTTCAAATTTAAATAAATTATCACCAACAGATTACTCTTTCGTAATAAAAATTTTATTTCCAACAAATCAAAGTTAAAAATCATTCTGTTGGTTTGCAGACGAACTAATCGGCGTCCACTGCACCCACGGACTAAACCGCACAGGTTACCTGGTCTGCCGTTTCCTGATCCAACAGCAGGGCTGGGACATCACCGAGGCGATCAAAGGTAAGTCTCTTTACCCCTTAAAATCACTCCTTTTCCCATCTAACAGCCTCAACTGACCTAAACTCTGTCCAGCTTTCGAGGACGCCCGTGGTCACTCGATAGAGCGTGAGAATTACGTTTTGGACTTGAAGGCCTGTAGCCACAAGAAGATCAACACCTCTGAAGATTTGCTGGACGTTATCCGTAAGGACTCCAAGCATCCGAAGCGTAATAACAATTCTAGGGACCAATTAAGTATCAATTGGCGGAAACATGAGCCTCCTCCAGTTCCAGTTCCAGTTTTTGCAGAACGTCGTCGTGAGGAACCTAGAAGAGCTAATTTGTACAGCTGGCGCAACCCGAGTTTGTCCTTACGTTCTTTAGAACCTCGGCCGTATGACTTACCGCCAAGAAATCAAACCAACCACCCAACGTCCTACAGAAATCCTTATGAGCCCCCTTATCACGGTTACAGAGGGATTGATGGTCCACGTTTGGATCCAGGTTATGGGCCCAGTTCTAGATCTGGACCAGGTTATGAACCCAGTTCTAGATCTGGTCCAGGTTATGGACCTAGTCGAGATTACGAACCTAGTTCTAGACCTGAACCAGGTTATGGGCCCAGGTCTGGTCCAGATTATGTGCCTAGTCAACCTGATCCAAGTTATGGACCCAGTCTTAGACCTGACCCAGGTTATGCACCCAAAACAAGTTCCCGAAGAGATCTTTATGTCCCTACTGCGATGCTAAGAGCCCGAAGAAATCAAGAAGCTCCAAGAAATCCAACCCTAATCCCAGACTACGTAAGACCTGACAGACTTATGATGCCTCAAGTTTCAGCATCAGCTCCGATTATTCCAAGAGAGAGAAGAAGAGAATTCCCTGTCCCTCCTCCGATCCCCGAGAGATGGCGTACCCAAGCTCCCGACAGTACTGACGAGTTTTCTGAGAGAAGGAGCGCTAGGCGACGTAAGTTTGATGATACGTTGAATAATAGACCTGGTGATAATATCAATTGTTCTGTTCCTTTAGCTATGCATCAGAAGAGACAGCGATCACGTTTTGAATATTAATAATAATTGTAAAAAAATTTTTAGATCGATTGAATTTTAATAAAAAATTTTTTTGGTTAATTTTTGTGGTTTTTATTTATATCCTGTAAACGGATTTTATCAAAAAGTACTTTATGGATTGGGTTCAAATTTTGTGGGTGCTTTTGGTAGGTCCTAATGAAAGTACATAATAAATTTGGAACCAATCGGAAGCTTAGTTTGGGTAAAATTGCAAAAAATGATATCAGTGCAAGCAATTAATGTTAATATTAACCATCAGAGGGCATTTTGCTCGCTTAAAGATTCTCGACCGTGATGAAAGTAGATTCCCGGCTAATTACTAGCCAGCGGAGAGCGTAAAAGAGTGAAGGGATGCGCTGAGATGCTGCCGGGTTGAGAGCGGGGGGAGCTAAGAAAACTGGTTGACGTTCTACAACTTAGCTCCGTGATATTGCCTAATTATCCACCGAGATTGGCTTTTCCATCCTCGTGGAGGTAATTACAAAATTTTGTAATCTCAAATGAATTATTGGCTATTATTCGACCTTCCAAGCTTGAGTATTACCGATAGGAGTAAGTAATTGACTGAGTTTTTTGACTCGAGAGACGTCAATCTGTCATGGGTAATTGACAAGGCTCGGGTCAGGTCTTAGGTCAAAGATGGACACGTTCATTGTTAAGTGAATCATTAGGCCTGACATTGAATCTTGTCTTGTTAAGACGAATAATTAATGGTCAGATTCATTTCTTAAAGCCTTTACTTTCGAATTTTATTATTTTTTAGCTTGTTGTGAGACCTGTCCGTTAAAAAATTTATTTAAGACGTCTGATTAGCACAATTGGGGGAATTACGGCTTTAGAGTTTTAGTATTTTATCAAAAAGTACTTAAAGAATTCGTTCCAAATTTTGTAGATTCTTTTAATAGGTTCTAAGGAAGGTACAGATTCAATTTGGAACCAATCGGAAGCTTAGTTTAATCAGAATCATTTAAAAAGAATAAGTTAAAAAGCAGCGTTTTCAAATTTGAACTTTGAGTTTTAGGATTCTATCAAAAAGTACTTGATGGATCAGTTCCAAATTTTGTAGCTTTCTTTAATAGGTTCTAAAAAAGCTACAGATTCAATTTGGAACCAATCGGAAGCTTAGTTTAGTCGACATCCTTGACAAAATGGTCTAAAAGCGTTTTTTTTAGGGTCTAGGCTTGATTTTTGGGATTATATCAAAAACTACTTGATAGATTGGTTCCAAATTTTGTAGGGGTCTTTTGGGGCGTCTTAAGAAAGTACAGATCAAATTTGGAACCAATTGAAACATTAGTTCCTCCAATATCCTCCAAAAAGATTTCCCGCCAAAATCAATTTCTGTGTTTTTACTTCCAAATCTCCCATATTTCCACTAAAATCAATCTTACAAGCCCCTCGGCAGTCACCACTTCGAGAAAATCAATATGTCGACCCCCCTGATAGCTTGCAATAGCAAAAATAGCAATTCCCCCTAGGGGAGCATGTTATTCATACAGCGACGGTATTTCTTCGCGATTAGATCTCTCGCGAGAGAATCGATTAATCTTTACTGTCTAAGTAGGCCGTTTTTAAAAGGGGGTCTTAAAAACGGATGACCCCCCACCCTCTTGACAGTGCAATGGAGTTAAATCAACAGGTTAGTAGCCGGGTGCCGAATTACCTACCGCGTGGCTGCTAATTATCTTGACCAATCTGGAGGGGGCTAGGATGAATTTTGAATTCGTAGAATCTGAAAGTTGACAAGATAATAATTTAAATGAAACAAAATAAAGATATCATGTTTCTGGTGATCACGTTGGGCTGGAATTTAAAATTAACACTTTTGATCATATTTATCGATCTTACAGCTCATGAATTTCGATATTTATTGGGGATTAAATTTACTAGATGGCATTAATGTAAATAATGTTGTAACTTTGTTGTAGCTTTGGGGCCTCTCGTAGTCAAAGAGAGTAATGAAGAGATACCAAAGAGGTTTTTTAAGATGACGATTTTTTGACTGGGGCTCCAATGAGAAAATCTTATGCAGAGATATATCATACTTCCATGATATATACTTACGCCCATGGACCGGTATTTATTACTCGTGTATTAGCATTACATATTAATTCCGCTTACCAGATGTGCGATCGCGATACCGATCGGGATGACTAATATATCAATGCTATCTGGTAGTTTAGACATCAAAGAGATGTAGACACAAAGCCTCCAGATATATTAATGTCTCATAAACTTTTTTTTTTTTTTCTAAGATTTATTTATCCTCAGGCTCGGGTCGTGTCACTCAAGGCCAGGTAATAAATTCGCGGGTTTTTGACCAATTTCTTAGGACCTAAGCCTCAGATTGGTTTCAAATTTGATCTATACCTTCCTTGATATCTCTTAAAAGAAACCACAAAATTTGGAACGGATCCATCAAGTAATGTTTGATAGAATCCTAAAGCTCAAAGTTCAAATTTGAGAAAGATGCTTTTCAAGTGATTCTTTTTCAATGATTCTGATTAAACTAAGCTTCCGATTGGTTCAAAATTGAATCTGTAGCTTCTTTAGTACTTATTTAAAGAAGCTACAAAATTTGGAACGAATTCATCAAGTGCTTTTTGATAGAATCCTAAAAATCAAGCCTAGACCTGAAAAAAACGCTTTTAGACCATTTTTTCAATGGTTCTAACTGAACCAATCATCCGATTGGTTCCAAATTAAAACTGTACCATCCTTAGCACCTCCCTAAAGCTCCCTCAAAATTTGGCACCGATCCTTTAAGTAGTTTTTGCAGGAATCCTTTGTTCCTTCATCAAAATCTACTTTTTTCTGATATTTTTCGGGATTTTTATGAAAGTAAGCTTTAAAATGGTTGTAAAATTGGTCTCTGTATCACTGACCTCAACCCGGGAGGAAAACAAAGCATAAGCAAACTTTTCCAATCACAAAAGTCGCTCCCGGCAAGTGTGACCCAAAAATCTATGCAATTCCTCAGCTAAACTCGCGAATTGTAAAATCTTGGAGCGACTTATGTGTAACTGGTCGATCGGGTGATTCAGATGCGGCACCTCAGTCACTAGACAAAAGAAAATGTATCCCGTAACTTAAAACTTTAGTATTTATTTGTATTTGTTATTTATTGAAGTTACCGTAGCTCTCTACCAGAGGGTTTGGGGTACGTGTTGCGTCAGCTCTTCTCTGGCGCCACATTCGTCTGTAGGATCGGAGTTTTGCGCCCAGTGCTTCTATATTCGCATTTGTTTCGCGTCATTTTATTTATTCCATTATTTTTCACAGTTCGACGAACTCGACCAACACAAAACTATTCATTATATCATTTTATACTATCGATATTCCTCGAAAAACCCTCAAACAAGACTTTTTATTTATATTTATATTTATTGAGGGTTTAATGAGGCTATACCTCATCCAACTCTATTACACGGTAAATTCGACGTTTCTATGCCAAATTGGCCCGATTTATCGTCTCTCTTATTTACCACCCCTATAATATTATCTCAAGTACTAGTAACATATCAACTAGTTGTCATACGAGCGCCACTATATCGTCCAGGAATCAATACTAAGCTCCATTCATCCAAAAAACCGAAAAAATGCTGTTATAGAGTTTTTTTCGATAAAAAAATTTTTTTTAATGATTTTTTCAACTCATATTATCTTAAGAAACAATATTTGAACCTAATTTAGTAGAAAAAAAATTTATTAACAAGCTTTTTGGATAAAAAAACCAGAAAAAGTAACATATTTCGCAGATTTTGACCTTGAAACTTAATTTTGAGGCTTTTTGAGGCGTGAAAAAATTTTTTGAGCATCAAAAATGGTGTTTATAGTCATCTAGAAGATTTTTCCTACAAAATAAAGTGGAAAAAAAATTTTTTCACACCTTCTTTGGATAAAAAATCAAAAAAAGTACTACTTTACGCAGATTTTGACCTTGAAACTTAATTTTGAGGCGTGCCAAAATTTTTTGAGCACTAAACATGGTGTTCTAAGTCATCTAGAAGATTTTTCTGGCAAAACAACGTGAAAAAAAATTTATTTAGACCTTTTTTGGATAAAAAACTAGAAAAAGTACTATTTTCCGGAGATTTTGACCTTGAAACTTATTTTTAAGGCATTTTGAGGCGTCCTAAAATTTTTTCCGTATCAAAAATGGTGTTCTTAGTCATCTAGAAGATTCTTCTGGCAAAACAAAGTGAAATAAAAATTTATTTAGACCTTTTTTGGATAAAAAACTATAAAAAGTCCTATATTTTGCAGATTTTGACCTTGAAACTCAGTTTTTAGGCTTTTTGAGGCGTGCAAAAATTTTTTCCACTCATTACTTCATAATTACCCATATAGAATCAAGTTTTAAGAAGAAACACTGCAAAAAAAATTTATTTTGAATTTTGAAGCCTATAAAAAAATATTTTTAAGAATTCCCTGAGAAAGGCTAAAAAATGAGGATTTTATCATCTTAGTAAAAGAAAAAAAAGCAACAAGCGAAAGGATGAGCAAAAGAAATAAAGTTTGCCTCAGGGAAGAATCTCGCTCGTGGCCCTTTGCCCTGGATGGTATCAAGATCTGGCATCGCATCTCTTAGTAGGCCCGAGAACATTAATTGAAATCAATTATTTGGCGCCGTGGTTGCTCCTGGGGGCAAATTTCGTCCTTTTTGCAATCTCTAAATAAGAAGAAGATGATGATGATGATGATGATGATTTCTTATCATCAAAAACTGAAAGGACTTTTACCGTGGGAATTTGAAGAATCGTTTGGTTAATATGACGGGTAATTAATCGTGAATAAAAGGGTGATTTCTCAATTTGGACAATTATAAACATTTGATATGTGGGAACAAACAAGCAATCGGCGTTGTGATTTATGGCGCCCAAAGGCCCTAAAAAGATAGAAAGAGAAAGAGAGCCAGGTTCAAGTCCAACGAAATAACCCTGGCTATTAATTATTTTAGTTTCACGAACCCGCGAAACGAGCTGAACGATTAGTCG